TTTTTACACACGCTTATTGCCGAACTTGACACTTGACTGACTCACGACTGCCATCCGGAGCACACGAGGAGCACGTCGCACCTTCCTGCAGTCCACTCGGCAAACCTGCAAGAAAGCACCACTCCCTGCTCAATACACAGTGTTTCGGGGAATTGACCCCTCATCAGTTGAGCTTGAGTAGGCTGAGGAAGATTGTGCCTGAAAGTGAAACGCACCACTTTTATACTGCTCTCCAGGCCAAACCATCACCAGGGATACAAACTTACAAAGACGCTTTGTTTCCAGCGCGACAAACACCTCGTGAAGCCCCAGATAGCAGCGTGAGTTGGAGTCGCTCATGGAGTTGTGCTGAACAGACGTCGAGAGCCAACGCAGTCACCTCCAACAACTAGTCGCATGTCCGCGTCAGGTGTCAAGTTCGGCAAGGAGCGTGTGTTCCTGTTTGGAACGATCAACTTCATGACCGCCGAATTGCGAAGTCACAACTTCTAAGTTCGTATTGTTGTCCCTTACGCAGATTAATTATAGCAGAGTGCATGATCTGAGATCACAGCATGGCCTGCTTGTCACAATAATGACGATGTGACATTGTTTGTTCAAACAATGAACCGCCGTAGTAGCTCTGCCTCTCGCCGAGCAAACATCTAAGTGAGTCCCTACTAAGAGAGTGATAATAGACTACATAATTTGTTACTGTTTTCTGATGATCGCTTAGTGCGTGAAACTCAGAGTTAAAACACTTTTCCGTCCTCTTATTGTTTGAACTAGCTCTGCCGCTCAGTATTGAGCACTCCCTTTGACAGCCTGGAACCTCTCTGTTTTATGACAATGGTTGATGTTCGTGTGTTCACCCTTAGCTTCCACATGTCACCCTACTGTCACTGGATGGATTGTACACGTAGAGTACAAGTGCACTGAACAAAACTGTGAATAATTTGGCTGCAGGATGAGAAGAAGCTGCTCTGGCTTGAAACTACTGTTGAATGGTATGTGATCAGTGGCGATGTTAGCTGCTGTGCCAGTGGGCTATGGCAGTATGAGAACCACAGTCCTCAGTCAAGGTTTAGTAATATTAGGGGAGCGACAGTCACAGAAGTGTCTAAAGCAGGAACGCTGGCTGAGAAGAGCAAGGAGCCATACCCGCAGATTATCAGATTCTCCTTCAGATTCATTCAGATTCTCCTTTCTGCGCTGCCGCTTTGGGTTTGCCGTGGTTCGTTGTTTTGCCATGTGCCTGCGTGGCTCAAGGAGCATGTTGCTCCTGCCGTGCCTGAGTCCCCTGCAGTGCTAGTGGTGGCTGGGGCACGCATCCAGTGAACCTGCAGTGATCCTACTGAGTCTGTGCAAACATTACCATAATATAGTGCTTCACAAATGTATTATTTTGCCCATACAAGAGGCTCAAGGAGTTCATTCCTAAAAAAAAAAGGAGGGGCGCTCGACCAATGGAGTCTGTGGTGTGGTGTGGAGCGTCTCCACCAACCAGTGAACTCTGATCCAATAATGTGTGGGAGATGAAGTCGAGACGGCCGGATTGTTGGGTGAGCTTGGTCTGCCTCTCTGGCAGAGCTACCTTGTGTGCCCGGTACCGTTATTGTCCATGCTCTTTCCTGCTTCGTTTTCCTTCATAACTCACTCATAGCTGCCGGTGGAGGTCTCGTCAGGGTACTCGCAGTAGATATTGCCGGGGCCTTCGACAAGGTCTCCCACAACGGGGTCCTCCACAAGGCTGAGCGGTGCGGCATAAGTGGCCCCCTCCTTGCCTGGCTCCGGAGTTACCTGACAGACCGCCACATCCGTGTCATCATAGGCGGCCAGTCTTCACCGACCCACCGAATCCAATCTGGCGTGCCGCAGGGCAGCATCCTCAGCCCCACCCTCTTCCTTCTGTACGTCAACGACGCAGAAGATCACCTGCCTGATGGGGCGAAGCTGGCTGTATACGCCGACGACACAACTCTCTACAAGTGCATCACCACCCGACTCAGACTGCCAGAAGAGACAGCAATCCTCCAGCAGGCAGTAGACTCACTGGCAGCATGGGGAAACAGGTGGAGGATCAAATTCGAGCCCACAAAGTCGCAGGCATTGACCATCAGCCACCACCGCTCGCCAACCCCCCCCCCCGAACGCAATACGCTTCCAAGGCGCAGTCGTGCCAGAAGTAGAGGAGCTCAAGCTTCTTGGCGTCACCTTCGAAAGGCAGCTGGCATTCCGCAGCCATATCCGACAGATTGCAGTACGCGGAGCCCAGCGGCTCGGCTTCCTCCATAAGGCATCGGCTGTGCTAGACCCAAAGCACCGGGCAATCGTGTACCGTGGCTTTGTCCGCCCTGTGTTAGAGTATGGCATGCTGGTGTGGATGAGCGCGGCCCCCACCACCTTGGCCCGCCTCACTGCCATCCAGCGCCGTGCCCTGCACATAATTGGAGATGGATCATAACTCCCAAGCCTCGACATTCGCCGTACCGTAGCAGGGCTCTGCTTTCTGTACAAGCTGCACTTTGTGGAGGGTCCGGAAATGGTGAAAGCCATTCTGCCACCATCAGCCGCCGCACCGCAATGCCGCATGTCTACTCTTGAGACAACCAGATCTGCAACACATCATCCATCACAACTCACCAGTATTCTTCCTCCTCAGTCACGAAACAATACGCTCCGCTCATCTCCCCACTCCCTCATCGCAACGTGGAATCAGCTCCCACCTACCCTTCTGCAGTCTCCCCCTTCTCGCAGAGGCATGCACACGTTCAAGAAAAATGTCAACGACCACTTGCGGCGCAGCAAGTGGGAGTGGGCCACAAACAGGCTATGATCTCTCCATCGCAGCCAACACACTAGCCTAATTATACTGATCGCACTCCAGCTCCCTTCTACCCCTCTTTGATCCCCTTCGCTCAGCCTTAAAATCCGACTATCAGTTCTCTCCATCTTCCTACGGTGCACTCCTTTTACTATTGTTTTGTCCTATCTCAATCTCAAATTCTCCCCATTATCGTTTGCAAAGCCGGTGCTTCCCTCTTGGATGCACATGTTTCTTTTTTCCTATGTATCCGCGCACAGGAGTAACGATGATTCCGAGACCTTTGGTCGGAGGAGTTACTTTTGCCCCGCCCCCACTTCCATCCAATATGCCACCGCCCCCGCTGTGCAGCATCTGATGGTACTGTGGTATTCAGAAAAAAAAAGTTGGGCTGCGTTTTGACGACGTTAAAAGGTGGGGGGAGGGGGTGGGCGCCAGAGACGAGTGGGTTCGCCAACAACAGAGATACACACCCTATTTGAACCTCACACGAGATCCAGAGAGTAATATTGATCAGTGGATAGCGAAGTCTCGCAGACCACATAATCCATAATTATGCACAGATTGGCCCCACTACTGGAATTTAGCACAACATACAACCCCAAACCTAAACTAAAGCATGGGACCACACCTAGAACAATCTCATTCCTTTCACAATCTCTTCTAAAACCGGAATTCAAAGTGCTGCTAGGCACCTCAATATACCCACCAGCTTGACTAGGCGTGGGGCACTAAAACGAGCACTCACTGGCGGGTTCCAAATAGCGAGCAACAAGGAGCACTAAATCCAGAAAATGAGCTCTAGTTTTTTAAAAGATTTAAGTTTTGGACGCTGGACCTGGATGAAAATACATGCATCAGGGCATGAAAGAATTGTTTTACTCTGGGCAGTTTCAAACTCTTCGTTGAGGATTTTGAGTGTTGCAAGTATGTTATTTCAAGCTTCATACACATTCATACACATCTATATTTAAAATAGGAAACTTATTGTACAACAAGGAAACCGGTGGGGCACAAGATATGCCTTAGAGTCCACCAACTAAACCAGATTTTGAACAATCAGACGTGCCCAAGGTATCGGACGACAAGCGCCTTCAAGCCGAACACAAGCTACATTCCAAGGCACAGTGGAATGCTGGCTTGGTACGATAACGGGACGGTAAGACCTTGGGACAACACGGTCTAACCATAATTCAAAACAACGCAACAACCGCCCAACCTGGGAGGCTGAATTTTATCAAGGATAAGAAATTCCCCTCTTTGGAATTTTCACAAATATCCATGAACCTTCCAAGTTGGAAGGCCGTTGGTTTAGCGCTATCGAGCAGTGCTCAAGCTAACTTTCATGCTGTGGAATGTCTCAGTACTCCTACTCCAGTAGTCAGTCTGGTTCTACCTTGTGCTGACTGTTGAAAACCTGGTTTAGTTGGTAGACTCTAACGCAGAACTTTTGCCCCACCGTTTTCCTTGTTTCCATTAAAATATTTTCCTTGTCTCTCCATCTGAGTAGTTAGTACACAACACTAATAATTACTGTCATGCACTTCAAACCAAGGAAGCCACCCCACCCCACCACATCCGCTCTCTGGCCGACCTCATCACAAAAGCAACATGATTCCAAGTTGTAGTAATGTAGATACTGACAAACACACATGACCCAGAGCATCACGCATCATTCGTTGCAACTAATACTAGTTTCATGCCCATAGGCAATCATCAGACAATGATGGGCCTATAGACATGGAAGTATTAGTTGCAACAAATGATGCGTGGTGCTCTGTGTCGTGTGTAAGATAGCTCTATTCGAATGAGTATAGAGCACTCTACCGAGCCGGATGACTCTCATTTTGTGATACTGACAAAATGTAATTTCCTCCATGCAGCGCTGTTTCGACCACTAAGGCCTCATCAGTGAAGATTTAAAAAAATGAATGGCTGGAATTAATTTGGAAGCACAGTTTTATACGCAGAATGAAATGAAGAACAAGAAGCGCGATCCAGTGCTTCCAGCGAGGTATTAAGAGACAGAAAACACACGGAGAGAAAAGGTGCAAAATGACACTGCTACGCGCCATAAGTGTACTGAGGATATCATTTGAGTACTACACAATGTACCTCAAACCAACGAGTCTGGTGGCAATGGAGGTTGTGCGAATGAATAACAATAATCTTTATTTCAGGATTACCCAATCCGGGGGGGAGGGGGGGATCTCGTGTTTGTGTACCGGTATGTACGATTATCATTGTAGTTGGGAAAAGAAGAAAAAAAGTGTGCAAAGTAAGTTCTGAAAAGATAGATGCTGCACAAAAGATACAGTGACAGAACAGGCATTTAAATCAATGATTACACATTAGAGGTAATCACGCAATGGTTGTAAATCAGCGGAACGGCTTATGGGCACTGAGTGAACAGCCTGAGTCGGCGGTTTCGCTTGAACTAGAGGCGCATGCGCCGCGACTTTTTCTGCCACAGCATCTCAACTGAATATGTAATTGGATAAACTCTACAGATCTAGCCACGATCTGGCATAAGTGCATACACCAACCAACTAGCTGCAGCACAATCACAACCTCCACACCCACAAAATCACATGCAGACTCACACGCAGACCCACACCCACACACATTCACACCCACAAAGCCACATGCAGACCCACACCCACACACATTCACACTCACACTCCACAACCGCACCTACTTCAGTACAAACCCACACCCACACACCAAACACAGTAGCATGACGGCATGGACAAACACACACGAGTACCTACTCATCCACTCACTCACATACATATCCACCACTTGTGTATGTGTGTCTCGATTTCTCTCTCTCTCTCTCTCTCTCTCTCTCTCTCTCTCTCTCTCTCTCTCTCTCTCTCTCTCTCTCTCTCTCTCTCTCTCTCTCTCTCTCTGTCTCTCTCTCTCTCTCTTCTCACCATATTACAACAAATCTGCAACAGTGCCATATGCATGGGAGGTGACACCACTGCTAGAATTGTTCTGATGGAGAGCCTCATATGTGTGACGCATTGCAACAGTGGACGCATCATGCTCTCCTAGGCTTCCTTCAGCTCCGCCAAGAGGGACCATGTTCAAATAGGCGTAAGATGGATTTTTTGCCGCTCCTGTTTTAAATGGACTTGATTGAGCTCCAGTTATGTCTAATGGGGCATTTGTTGCATTCCTGTTCTCAGATGCCTCAGCATAGAGTTGCTCAGGAACAGCGGGAGTGATTCCGTACGCTTCATTTGCCACCAGCTCGTCTGACGGTATCAGGCGTGGGTGCTGTGCAGTAGATGGATCCACCGCATATTTTCTCACAGCTGCAGACCTATGTTGAGATTGATGTCTTGTAGCTCTGATGACTATGATCATCATGAAAATGATGACACAAATGGCCAGCCCCAACGTCACAGAAAGCGCTATTACTGGAGTATCACTCACTTTGGCATCTTCTGGAGATGCCAGTGAATCACCTGCAGATAGATGAAGTTCAATATTAAGAGGAGGGGAGAAGGGAAAATGAGTATGAGTTATCAGTAAAACAGTTCGCCAATTTACCTAGATGACGTTAATGCTGTCCGAATGTACAACAACTAGGCACAAAACTGACATGGTACTAATCAAACTACTAACACATTATAAATGACTTGGCTCCTGGTTTCATTACACCTCCAATGCGCTGCCGACGCCTTTCAATTGTTACTGGACAGATGGATGGGAGAGACCCGCTCTGGCGGGATTTTACGGGTACTAGTGCTTCTTCCCATGAACAGTTCCTGAGAAACCTCCGATTTGAGTCTTGAACATGCGTAAGTGTGATCTGATAATCACCATCAATCATCTATTGTTGAAATGTTGGTGCAATCAAAAGTTAAAAAGGGACTTTTTGTAAAAAATATGATATATCCCGACAAACCAAGGCAAATCCCGAGATTTTGCCATGGGGATCCAGAAAAAGCACTCTCAGTACTTGGCAGGTATGTAAGAGTTGTGTTACAGCACTCGCAGTCACACCGCTACATAGAGTCTACCATGGTCTACCGCGCGTAGTCTAGTCGTTGTCTGCAACACAGAACAATGTTTATGCATTCAAGTCGAGAGATCTAGAGTCGCACATGGTATGCAGCGCACGGACTTTGCCCGCCCTCGAATATTCGAAATTTTGTACCTTCGACCTAGATTTTATCCAATCGATTATTCGTTGAGGTCCAAGAGATCGAGGAAATTCGAATAATCGATTACTCTTTACATCACTAGTATGTCCATGTACATGCATATCAATAATATTGTTACCTGATGACGAGGTCAATGATGCATTGGTTCCTGTTGAAATGCTTTGGTAGGAGTTAGCGGTGCTATGTTCCAATGTCCCTGACGAACCAGTTGGTGCGGTCGAAACTACAGCGCATTTCAACATAATGTGCAAACAGTTTTTCAGGTTTTTCAAGAAGAAAAAATGCATGAAGAGAAATTAAATTATGCCGGGACAAGAGGAAGGACAAAAATGATACGAGTTATGAATAACCTGAATAACCATCCAGCACAGTAACCATAACAAGACTCACAGGGTGTACTGAGACATTATGTACAGCCGGACCAGACACCTACAATGTAGTTCAAACACATCTCTTTAGCACAAACCTTTAGCCTTCCAACTTGGAAGGTTCAGGTTAGTAAATGTGAGGGGAAGGAAAGCACAATGAAGATGAGCATGAGCTACATCCCACGGCAACAAAGAATGCCGAATATTACTGGATGATGACGAAGCTAGTAAGACTATTGGACATACCGGTCTAGCTAAAATCAATGACATAAAGCAACAGGCAACCCAATTGGGAGGTTCGATTCTATGTATTCTGCATAGAGAGTAGAAGGCATGCAAAGACTAATGCTGGTAATGGTAGTAAATCAAAACGCCAATATACTACTGAACTCCAATTTGATGTCAATATGATAGGCTAGTTAAATTAAGTACAATAACAAGTATTTCTTCAATGTACTACATGCATCTGCGCAATCCACACCAGTCCAAATGAACACTAGGAAATTTTAGAACCGAACGTTTTCGTTCCCTTCTCTTCATGGGCTCTTATATGGAATAAAGCAAAAATGACTAATACGGCAATTATACGGGCAAAGAATTGTGATTGTTGTGATGAACTACAGCAGAGTTACCGTAAAATCCCTCCAGAGCGCCCCGTCTCTCCCATCTGCCCCTCCCTGACATTTTGTCAGGGAAGTGATTGATTGTATCCTCGTATAACTCTGTGATGCTGTACTGTACTGCAGACGGGTGCTCCACCCCATTGGAAATATCCTCAACAATGCCCACCCTCTTGACCAGGGATCGCACAAACCCTGAGTTTCGATTGGTCTGTACGACTCCTGGCGCTTGACCTTTCATCGGTGTACGAGATACATGAACAATTTTCCTAGGGTGAGTACTTTTTCATGTAGTACTGAATGCGGTAAGTAGGACTCGCCCATCCTCCCCTCCCCACCTGGACCTTCTCAAAGGGTGGCGGAGGAAGGGGCGCTCTGGCGGGATTTTACGGTACTACCAAACGGGCTGATATGCGGAGTGATTCGAAAGTTGACTATGTATGTTGCCGAAACATCCCTACTCGCATAGTCATCGTGAACGCATCGCTACTCGAATAGTCATCAGTGAACGCCACGCTAGCAAGGGTAGATTACAACGCAAGTTTCAAGGCGTAAGGGAGGAACAAGCCTGGATGCAACAAACTGATAAGCAGTTTTCTACACCAGTTGATCATGAGCCTGAATCCAATGACCTTGTTGCATGATCAGGCGAATTTGTATCTGACGATATGAAGCTATTTACAAGTATCAATGTGGAATTATCTAGAGAGGAAAGGGAAGTCCTCGCTAAAGGTCCTAGGAAACCATGGAGTTGAAGAAGCTAGAGACTAACATTGAATCAATGATTTTCGGGTTGCGGTAGGTAATGGGTCCACTTCAATTTTTCAAAATGGGAGCTAGCGACACTACAAAGGTAAGTGTCAGCACCAGCCAGACGATTTGTCCGTGGAACAGGAGGCAGGGTTAGCAAGGCTGAAGCAAAATATTATGAAATTGTATAGGACCTATCACCCTCGACATGTCCACAATCTGACAGAAGATGAAAAGGCCGTGATTGCATCGTTACAGAAAAGAACAAAGGCAGGCGAAATCATCATCAAGCAGTCCGACAAAGCGAAATTGACCGGATTAGGCAAGATTAAGTATGTTGTTGTGCCCGTTGTTGTGCCCGATCCGTTCCAGGATCGGTTATCCCTATTCATTCCCGTACTGTGTACATATACGGATCCTGGTTAAGCATCTTTATCTTTCCTTGTTCTATGTAAATAAACTTTAGTTGTTGTCTGGGACTTGTGGAGTGAAGTTCATCTATGGAGTGCAGGAACTAACTTGATGTTCACGCAGGAACATTACAATGTCAGGCTGCCACTCTTCCGCAACTATAGTAAGCTCTGTACACTAAGTCTTATTCCCTACTGAGCGACAGTTTCTTGATAGGAGCGGGAGCTGGGGTGGTCCAGAATGCTGGTGAGTGGGAAGGGAGTGTCAGGTAGGAAAGAATGGGTGTGCGTGTGGGTTCAGTGAGGAAGGTGGGTGTGGGTCCAATAATGGCAAGGGTTGGAATGCCTTTGCTTCGGGATTGATCAATCTACCTGGAATGAAGGTTGGGGCCCAAACATTCAGTTCCGAGGTGTTCATTGCGAGATATAGTGTCTGATGGGCTAGTCAGTATTGAAACGCCATTCCCTCACGGTATGACCCATTGTGTTTGGCCAGATGGCATACAGTATCGGCATCCTTGCCCTCGACAGTCACTCTGGCGGAGGCAGTTCGAAAATACTCAGAGGAGTATATTACGCACTGCACTATTTCAATGCCTCGTTCCCTGCACCACTCTGCTATGCTCTCTACCTCACAACCATACGGCAAACAGTCAGACATCGCTTAGCCGGTCTTCTTTATCCGGATCCCTCGCCATCCGGAAGAAAATCGTTGGTTACCGATTTACAGCATACATGTACGTGTTGCATACATACAGTATGTGCATTGGATTATCCGGTTCCCTCACCCATCTGGATATTTTTTGTGGAAAACGGACGTGTGCGGTTATGCGAGGTCTGACTGTATCTCCCAAGTAGAAGACCTTTCGTGGGCCGTGGGCGAGGGGGGGGAGGGGTGGAGGGCATCATCCAGTGACGAACAGAACAGAGGACTTTCTGGTTCGGGTTGGTGTAACATACGATACTCGGCGACGAATACACACAAACTACGGGTGCTCATAGCAGTCTGAGGGAATTTTTGAATTTTTGGTGTGATCATGATACGCATGTGAAACTCGCGTGCACTAGCTGCCCAGTTCACACAAACTTACTTTTCAGGAGATCTTGTTGCGCTGTTGTTCAGCAAATGGCGCTTTGTGGCAACTTCATTTGAGTTTCTGCGAGGGCAGGCATCAGTCCTGTGATGTCTCAGTGCCGGTAGAGACCTAACAAGGTGGACCAACTGGGAGCTCTGCTGAGGAGAGACCTAACAAGGTGGAACAGCTGTGAGCTCTGCTGAGGAGAGACCTAACAAGGTGGTACAGCTGTGAGCTCTGCTGAGGAGAGACCTAACATGGTTGAACAGCTGTGAGCTCTGCTGAGGAGAGACCTAGCAAGGTAGAACAGTTGTGAGCTCTGCTGAGGACAGACCTAACAAGGTGGAACAGCTAGCCGTCCAGAATTGAGTAACCCACGCAGACTAGACAACACACGGGAGAAACTTACCACCCGGTAGAAGATGTATATCACTCCGTGAGGCTGATGGTCCAAAGCCGGCTTCATTTCTAGCTTCAACTGTGCACGTGTAGGTCTCTCCAGCATACAGTCTGCTACACATCACTCTGTAGCCGATGATATTGGAATTTCCATCATCAGCCGGTTGCACATAGGACAGTTCAATGAAGGTGGAGGCGTTGGAGAGAAGGACGATGTTACGTGGTGCACCGGGAGGGCCTGCACACAGAGCACACAGAAAACAGAGCACACAGCACCCAGAGTGTGATGATAATAAAATCAATATACCGGTAAGTATTCAAAAAAATGTGTTTAACGGTCTGTGCTTGGATGACAGCTACACCATGGTTCAGTGGTGAGAGTATCGCTGGCCTCAAGCGGGGGTCTCTGATTCGAACCCTGGTTCCAGTCCTGGTGGTGACAGTCATTTTTTCTTCAAATTTTTCCCTTTTGCATTCCCTCAACCAGTGAATATTCAAAAATGACCAAGGACATTTGTTCCCACGACTAATTATTTTTACCTACTGAAAAACAAGAGCAAAGCACTGTTTTGCTTGGATTGAGAGAAACAGGAATATCAAATAGGCACAACGACACTCCATGTGAGAGTGAATATTAGAGTAAAGTATTAAACTTACTGATAATGCGGACAGTGATATTGACTGAGCTTGAACCTGGACCACCGGAAATTTGATTGGTTGCTTCACACACGTACACGCCATTATGAGTTGAATCCGCTGATGCTACATCCAGAGCTGTCACCTTGCGCTCAGTCCATAGGTTGTTAGTGGGTGTTGCAGCTTGATATTGGGACAGCAACGAGGACCTGACACCACTGGCACTGACGAAGTCAAACACAGTCAGGTCGGGACGGCTGGACACATAGACTGTCAAGAATAGCCTGGTACCCTCAACAACAGAACGTTCACGCTCAGTGTTAGAGAAGTCAGGTCGGAAATATACGGTTACATTGAATGTCAAAACAATAGGGGCAGTGTTTGCTTCATTCGCAGCGTAGCACACATAAAGCCCAGATGAATTCCGCGCACTGCGAATTGGGAAGACTACTCCATTGGCAAATGAATCTGGTCGGAATGTACGTGTGCGACCATCATCATAAGTAATGTTGAGTGTTACCGTGTTCCTTCTTGGCTGTCCAGTATTAGGAAAACAGACAACTGGTGGGATGGGTGATCCTTCATTGAAAACATGTGATATGCCCGGCTGATTACCCAGTCCAGTGTTAGCACCATCAACAGTGTTCATGCCCAGAATTGGCTCTGCAAGAAAAAGGATACAGGGTACAGGGAGCACAATGTTTGTGGTGTATGCATGAGCATGGTGTGATGTGCGACGCATATGGTACTAGTATGTGGTGTATGCATGAGCATGGTGTGATGTGCGACGCATATGATATGTGGTGTATGCTGGAGACACGTCGTCAGAGAGTGATAACCTGCTTGTGTTTATTTGAGAGTCATTGTCAAGTGAGTGTCGTGCATGCATAGTGCTAGTTTGGTCTAGGAGCGAGAGTAATGAGTGATTCGTCCGTGGTCTCATTGTCTTGGTCTTGGTCATGTGTTTTGTGTGTTGTACGCATCACTATGGGATTATGTGCGATGGAATAAGGGCCGAACAATGTCTAGCAGCATCCTTTAACCAGGACTATTCAATTCAGCATCCAGAAGACTTCTGAGATTTCATCTTCATCCATGCATCTATGAATGAATTAGTGCTTTCAGGATTTTTTTTCTGATAATGCCTCACTGGTATGGCGCATTCGTTCAATTTTGGGGAAGCGTGTGAGTTCGGTTGGCAACACATGCACAGGACAAAGGAGCGTCCAGCCGCAAGTTTCACAGACTGTCACCATTTTAGTCTCAACACTCGAAAGACTAAGCTAGTGAACATTATACGTTAAGCCATACTGTGTGTACTGTGTGAGCCATACTGTGTGTACTGTGTAAAAAGCTCCCACTTGGCACGGAGACTCTACTTGCTTCATTTATACCATGTCCAAGCATAATTATTACCGTATGTATCCTTCAAACCAGCATCTCCAATCATCCAGACAACACTGGAAAATACGGCTAGCATCCATATCTGTTTTAAGCTTTACTTTCAAGAGATCCCTTTTCAGCACATAATTACATAGCAAAAATCTCTGATCAACCATGTCATCACCAGCACCCCAGATGATTGTGTCAGCGTATATATTATTTAAATTCAAATCGTGAGTTAAGAAGTCTGAAGAAAATGTCGAATGGTCTCTGCTGGGATGATGACTACACCATAGCTCAGTGGTGAGGGCATCGCTGGCTACAAGAGAGGGTCCCTGGTTCAAGTTCTGGTGGTGACAGTCAGTTTTTTTCTTCAGACTTTTCCCATTTGTGTCTTTCCCTCAAGCCAGTAAATTCAAATCATAATTATTATTTGACATTCATGCATTTTTACTTACCAGTAAGTATAATGGTATAGTGATTAGCTTGAAGTGATGTGACTGACCCACACGCGTAGACTGCTCGCACTCCGTCATAATTGATAATGTGAAGCTGGTAGATGAAGAAGCTGCTTGAATTAGAAATCAAACGCTGGTACTCCGTTTGGTAGGGATCAGAACCATCATAAAAAGGAACCAGTCGCGGTGTACCACTGCCGCCGGCACCTAGGTGTACAAATCTTATCGTATTCGGGTCGGTAGTGTTGCATTTTACACCTGTTACATTGGAACCAGATACATGGTATTCTAGCAGAAAACACAAAACAACAAAGTTCACACATAAAGGCTAAGTTACGAGGTGCTCATCAGGTAACAATACTGTTTCAAGCATGCTTCAGTGCATAAGCACACTTTTCGCTCACAGAGCAACTGTTCAGTACATGGGGTAGTGGTTTACCAGAGCAATCACACTCACCACCGTAGTGGTTTTCTAGAAATGAGTTGAAGCAAAAACCACGCTCGCCATCACATAATAGATAAATAGCCGAAAACATCTAAACCGCCAGCAAGCTGAAGAAAAGGCAGCAAAATCAAGAGAAACAGCATGGCCAGTTGTGAACATGGGTGACTGGGCAGCAGGGGAGCGCCTCAAGCAATGACTCCCTACATTCCTAGCCGCGACCGCTCAACCGGGCTAGAGGAAAAACACGCCTTTAGAAACAAAAAAACCTTTCTAACCTTTCTATTTCATTATTTCCTGCCCCGCTGCCAGTCGAGCCCAAGAATAGAGAAAACAAGAAATTGTATGTCATAATCATTAGCCACGGCATAGAATATCAAGAAGAACAGAGGAAGACTCCCATGAAACCAGGGTCGGTGGGTGGGCAACTTCAACTAAAAAAAAACTACCATGAGGAAAACAAAGACGACAATGGCAGGTTCAATGGAGTTGCGCAGAACAAGAGCAAACACACGAAAATATTTGAGAGTGAAAAATACGTTTTTTGCACTCTTTGTTTTAGCACTCAGCCGTGAAAACAAAAAAAATATTTCATTCAATAAAACAGCACAGGTCTGAGCGTCATCGTCATCCATGTCCATGATACTCGCCAGAGAAAAAACAACTATAGTGCATCACCAAATCTGGGCCCATAGGTTTTTCAGTCTCAGTTTACTTTTGTTCAAGATCGTCAAGGCGATGACTTGTATAGGTCAGAAATATGCTAGCCGTTGTTTTAGGCCTTATATTAGACTAGCAGCACCCCCGGCCAGCGTTGCCTGGCCGAATGTGGCATGCGGGTGAAGCAAGTACATGAACAGCACACGTGCTCAGCACGTGGTGGTGGCCAGACCGCTGAAGTCCTGGTGAGCATGAGGGAGGTTCTTCATGGTTGGAAGGAGAAGGAGGGACGTCTGTTACGCCTTCGGGAGGCTGGTCAGGGGTGTCCATCACCTGGTGGCGGATGAAGCGGCTCAAAAAATTCATAAACTTATGAACAAAAGTGAGATGCGCTCTTCACTGCAGATCAGATGCAGAGTGCAGTCAGTGCAGATCTTTTGTATCCTTTTGTTGCAGATGTTTCTATTTGCAGAGAACGGTTCACGTGGTCCGCAGCGCTTGTGCGGCTGCTAGTGCTACCTATGGCCTAGGCTAGGTGGCTATGATTCGCACGCTTCGCGTGCTCAGTGCTTCTGCGCGCGGCTGCTACTGCTACTCGTACTGATCGTGTCTGCTACCGCCTAGTACCTACACTGTTCGCACTCAGCAAGTGGTGGTGGCTACACGATTCGCACGCTTCGCGTGCTCAGTGCTTCTGTGGCTGCTTCCGTTAGCTACACGATTCGCACGCTTCGCGTGCTCAGTGCTTCTGCGGCCGCTAGCTACACTGTTCACACGCTAGCGCTTCGCGTGATCAGGGCAGCGCTGCTCCGCAGCGCTTCAGCGTGACACAAAAACACACGTCACAGGTGCCTCTTCTTTATAAGGAGCGTGACACACATACACACACACACAGACACACGTCACAGGTGCCTCTTCTTTATAAGTAAAGATGAAGCGAATGGGGTGAAAACTGATCAAGATAATATTATGTGAAAATTGTATTTTTTCAGACACACGCACAATATTCATTGACACAATACATATGGACTCAGATGGAGAGCTAGGGTTTTATTTATACAAAGAGGAAAACCAAGGAACTACAAGTTACGCTATACTGTCCACTAACACCACCAGTTACTAAACAATCATCTCATGCGATAACATTGCACGACACTGACCACTGACGTTCTACAACTAACTGGCTAACAGCTCTAGCACATCTTGGATGCGCACTCCAACAGCCTTCCAACTTGGTAGGTTCTAAGTTATAGAAATAACATAAGGAGAGGAAGGTGAAAAAACTTGTCATAGTCGAAGTACAGTGCTGTTTTACTGAGGCGTTCAGTTTTTCATGATTCTTGTTCGCATAGCTTCCCCTTTTATTGATCTTCGCATCTTTTGAACCACACAAGTGGCATACGGCTCCCAAAATCTACTTTTGCAATACAGAAAACACCTTCAAGCAGCTCTTCGCAAATCATCGGACACCATTATGCCATGAGAAAAACGCCTTCTCTTCCTCCCCCAAGGTTTCGCAGCTTGATCGCCTTCAGGTCCTGCAGAACCGAGCGGCGAGAGCGGTATACGGTTTGCCGCCTCACATCTCGGCTCAGCCTCTGCTCGAACGGATGTCCCTGTACAGAGTTCGCGAGTGCTACGCCCAGAAGCGGCTCGTCCTGGTGTGGCGCTGTGTCAATGGGAAAGCCAGCAGTGTCCTCCAGGACCTATTCTCACCATCAGCTGGCAGCACCACCCGGCACCAGGTTTCCAGGGGCCTCACTGTCCCCTCGGCACAGTCAGAAGCCGGCAGATCTCGCCTGGCCTTTCAGGCAGCCTTGGCCTGGAACGCTCTCCCAAGGAGTGTAAGGGAGATCAAGGCTGCCCAGCAATTTAAGCTTGCCTCCATCCCCTACACCTTGCAATGAATGCTCTGTCTGACTTTTCCCGTCCACACATCACGTCATTTACTCTTCTCTGCGTGCTTGTGCGCTTATGAACTCTTTGTGTTCCCTCTGTTGACGCTTCAAAATCGCTCTATTGACACTGCAAAATCGCTCTGTTGACGCTGCAAAATTGCTTATCATCTCCCTCCCTCCCTCCCCCCCCTCTCTCTCTCTCTCTCTCTCTCTCTCCCCGTAGCTCTCTCCCTTTTGAAATTCGCTTCCATAGAATTGGGCACCATTGCCCGTTTGGCCTTGCGAAGTAAAATAAAAATCAACAACATAAGCACTGAATTGTCTAAATTTGTGGACAAGCTAAAGAGAAAAGGCGAACCGCGCAAGGTGAAGTGGGTCATCCAGGACCGGGCCAAGTCATACTCTAACCAATCAGAGTCCTGTAGCCTGTGCACAGTGGAGAAGCTGCATATCCTGACAGCTGACAGTAGATCTTGCCTCAACAGAATTTTTTAACGCCAAACACCGTAGCAATCACTGCCCTGGATAACCCCTGTGCCACTGCCTCCCTGCATTGGCCTTTTTTGAACAGTTCTGTCAATCCTGAACATGCCCCTGTGTGGATAGGCTAGGAGGGACTACAAGGTTACATTCCGCTTTACCTCCTTATGCAATTAGGGTTATAGTCATAGCATCTCACCTTCAAGTGGTCCACCACCAGGTAATTGTGCATGAGCACAGCGCATAATGCTCAGGCTCAGCAGCAAAACAGTTACACGTCTGGTGGGGACTAGAACCATATTCGCCTTCTTCTTCCCAAGAGATGGGCCAGATAATTATGGTTCTGAGAGGATGCCGTCACTGGCTGTAGTGTGTAGAAACATAAAAGAAGTGACAATATTATAGCAATGAGTAACATAATGTGTGTGATCCACACATCCAACTATTCCCACCTCCCTGATAGGTGTAAAGTCCTTTTCTACCGTTGCAACATTTTGCCTCTGTTCGGCAACGCCGACACTGCATGGTGTGGTCTAAATTCACTTTGTCCACAAAACTTGAAACACATCATAGAAAGACTTTCAAACGGTTATTTGGACTGCTTCAGTTATTTAGCTGTGCCCAATTCAGGGCAATTATATGCTCGGACCGCCTTATCTCCGCTCTGTGAGCGCAGCCAAGCCCATTTATGTACCCTTGCTCATAAAATGTATGCTAAACGAATTCCCCAACACTTGGAAAAGTATGACTGGTTTTAGTGTGATAGACCTACTCGAAATCAAGTACCATTGCCTGTTCCCCGTTTGTCTCTAAAAAAGCCTAGTTCACATTCGACGGGGCGCAACGGGACGCGACGTAAGGATCGACGGGAAGCGACGGGACTGTCTGACGGCGTCCAATGTGAACACCAGGAACGGGAACGCAATCGTACTGCCGTACGGATCGGGAAGCGACGGAAAGAGTTGGATCGAACAACTTCTCATACCGTAGACCGGCGTAGACGGGGACGCAAGCGTACAAAACAGCTGCATTTTGAGTGTGAACAGGTGACGGCGTCGTGCGCCGAATACTCCCGATTCGTACTTGGACTTTTTTAGCATTTCGAACACTGCGCTTCCCATGATAACTCGCAGAATGGCAAATACGACTTGAGTTGAATTTTAGCAAGATAAGGTCTGATGTGACGTATGGTATTTAGGGATAGTTCAGGAGCGTGACAGACAAACTGTTTTCTCATTTCCTGGAGCTATTATTTGAATGGCACACCTTTCGAAGCTACTTTTTTGGTGTTCATGAAAAACTGGTATTGTTAACTTGATTCCGCTTCATTCAAGGAGAAATAATTGAAAAGAAGTCCCGAAAAACAAAAAAATTAGGTCCAAAAGTGACCCTGTCACGGACCGTGCTTTATGGCTGGCGCCGTTCGCTGTTGAACGATGCAACGACTGCAGCATGTCGTGTCGTACGAATCGTACAAGATTTTACAGCTCACTCCAGCCTTCCCGACAGGCCCTTACGTCCCGTACCGTCAGCGTTCCGTCGAATGTGAACTAGACTTAAACTCACCAATGTTTGTGGTATATAACTTTTGGCGCTCCCTTACCTATAGTATTCGACGTCCTGAAATACTTTCCGGTTTCAAGAAAGCTCTTCGTAAGTTATGTTCTAAATATAATTTTTCTTCTTTCTTTTTCACAAGTTTGAGGGAATAATTCTTTCTTCGTTTTTTTCTTTTACTTTACAGCAGTACGACTGTACAATCATTTACAACACCGTTAAGCCCTGGACGTTCTGCAGGCAAGGGGGCATGCTCTGCTTCTTTTGGAGAAGAAAGTGGTGTGATTCCCGAGACTTTTGAGGCATAGAAAGAAGTCGATCAATGTGGTGGTAAAGACACACCTGGCAATATGGCGGTAAACACACGCCTGCCCACACACGCTCTCTAGGCTGCAAAGTTCTGGCACAGAGCTCTCCTTCTCACCACCATCACCATCAGTTCCCACCTGGTGCCTGGTCGATGCATGGTTGGCGGTATCCGGCATAGCAGGCTGGTACATCAAGTAGCGCATGGCACATAGAAGATGACACAGCAACGACATAGCTCGATTGCGACGTACGTTTCGTCCCCGCTGGACTCGTCAGGCAATCTTTTTCTTGGATGTCTTCATACGGAGCTTGACTCGGGAGAATAAATTGAAGACACCACTGCAGCAGTACTTATGGTTGATAAATATGGTGGTAAAGACACACCTGGCAATATGGCGGTAAACACACGCCTGCCCACACACGCTCTCTAGGCTGCAAAGTTCTGGCACAGAGCTCTCCTTCTCACCACCCCCACCATCAGTTCGCGCCTGGCGCCTCGTCGATGCATGGTTGGCGGTATCCGGCATAGCAGGCTGGTACATCAAGTAGCGCATGGCACATAGAAGATGACACAGCAACGACATAGCTCGATTGCGACGTACGTTTCGTCCCCGCTGGACTCATCAGGCAATCTTCTTCTTGGATGTCTTCATACGGAGCTTGACTCGGGAGAATAAATTGAAGACACCACTGCAGCTGTACTTATGGTTGATCAACATGGTGGTAAAGACACACCTGGCAATATGGCGGTAAACACACGCCTGCCCACACACGCTCTCTAGGCTGCAAAGTTCTGGCACAGAGCTCTCCTTCTCACCACCACCACCATCAGTTCGCGCCTGGCGCCTGGTCAATGCATGGTTGGCGGTTTCCGGCATAGCAGGCTGGTACACCAAGTAGCGCATGGCACATAGAAGATGACACAGCAACGACATAGTGTGTTTACCGCCATATTGCCAGGTGTGTCTTTACCACCATATTGATCAACGATAAGTACAGCTGCAGTGGTGTCTTCAATTTATTCTCCCGAGTCAAGCTCCGTATGAAGACATCCAAGAAGAAGATTGCCTGATGAGTCCAGCGGGGACAAAACGTACGTCGCAATCGAGCTATGTCGTTGCTGTGTCATCTTTTATGTGCCATGCGCTACTTGATGTACCAGCCTGCTATGCCGGATACCGCCAACCATGCATCGACCAGGCGCCAGGCGCGAACTGATGGTGGTGGTGGTGAGGAGGAGAGCTCTGTGCAAGAACTTTGCAGCCTAGAGAGCGTGTGTGGGCAGGCGTGTGTTTACCGCCATATTGCCAGGTGTGTCTTTACCACCATATTGATCAACGATAAGTACAGCTGCAGTGGTGTCTTCAATTTATTCTCCATAGAAAGAAGTCAATAAATTTATCTTGTTCTCTTCAAATACATACATGTACATGTCTATCCCCACTAGTTTATCCAGCGGTTTTTGAGGCTGTATAGCACGGTTAGGAGCTCTGGCACATAATATGACCCATAAAATAGGTCATGCGATTTCCCCAGATTTGGATATTTGCCAATTGGGCCTACAACTTGGCACTGAAATTTACAATGCATACACTATAAGCCTGTGATTAGCGTAGCTCGCCAAGATATATTTGCAAAGTTCATCATTGGTTCAGCACCAGTGTAATACTCTGAAATGCGTATGCTTGCCACACCAGCAATTTGCAAACTGCATTTGCTTGGACAAGATTAGCATACAGGGAAAGCTTTCCGTGCATGGCTGGGTCAGTTGACCTGAGACAGTTGCATACGGATTTCAAAGCCAGCCAGCAACTGGAGAATAATGAACACCATCATCTATGTAATTGTCACTGGATTCCATTGTCCTGTGCGCCCTCGCACGGACTGAAATCATGCACTGACAGATACTGTATGGCACAGAAATTTGTCTCTTTAACAAGAAACTCAAACAACGCATGATACTAGTACAGTGGTCCCTCTATAATCCGGCACCATTTGTGCCACGAAATTCTGCTGGATTAGGGAGGGTGCTGGATTAACAAATCTGATTTACTGCTGCAATGTGCATGAAGAGGACATTTTGGCTACTGAAAATTGTGCTGGTTTATCGAGGGTGCTGGATTATAAAGTGCCGGATTAGAGAGGGACGACTGTAGTAGAAAATGATTCACAAAGTAACTCCTTCCTGCGTTTTCTGGTGGAGGAGTCGCCAAACAAGGCTGCATTACAAAATTTGGCTGATCACAGAGGATCAGTATAGAAAAATCTGTCTGAACCGGATGACATTGGGTAATAATGCCTGTGCAAAATTGTCTACATCATGCATATATTGGTGCATCGCAACGTTATACTGGTGTAGTATCCCTGCTTTACAGTTTACACATGAATAGTAGTACATGCATTTTGCATGACTCTTATAACATTACTCTTGTTACTACTTTCGGACAAGTCCTACATCATGTACCTCACACATGACTTGATTACATCAGGAGTACCGCGCTTCTAAAAGATCATAGATCTTCCATGCATGCTGTTGTCATCACTTCCAGTATCACTTCCTTTTAGTTACTAGTTGGTACAGTCATGACTCATGTACAATGTATGTCATGTTGTTCCGGACTATTCCAGACCTTCCACGTCATATGCCCGATGAGTAATGTTGCTGACTAAATTGCATAATATACATGTAGATATCTTACCTTCTAGAATACCTCGCTTAGTCATTATGTTAATGTTACGCAATGCTCACTTCATCTACCTGTATAGCAATGATGATCAAGGTTTACCTTCTCCACTATTCTAGAGCTTGTAGAAGGATGATTTCGTAATCACTGCAATGGCTTACCAACCTTACTTTCCTACCTTCGCCTGCTTTGCTATACACACATGCACTTTGCTTGCCTATAAAAGCTGCTGTCTTTTCTGCCATCATCAGATTAGATTAGCTCATGTCAGAGAGAGAGCAAGATAGAGTTCTGTTCACTTAGGAATATTTGATATAAGATAACCTCCAGGCCGTGCCGGAGTAAGTTCTGAAACGTTCGTTGACTGACTGTGGGTAGTTGCCTCCTTGCCTTAGACCACGCACACTACACTCGCAAGCATTTCGTTTAGTGTCTTGTCTCCCAATCCCATTGCTGCATTCTCGTCCGTGTGTGTACCAGCAGCGCTATGGCTCGAAGACCTGTGCAGTACGGTATTAGACAAATTTGGTGATGTGCTGAGACGTAGGTTGTCATATTCAGGCACCAAAACACAAGGTGTGGACAAGAAACCAGATCGTAGGAGTCCTGCAAAGCGCATGCAGGCCAGGCTTCACTAAACACGCTTTGTGTCCTCCATCAATAATACAATACACAGCCTTGCACACTCAAAGATGGCTGCATGGCAGTCCAGTAAGACACGCGTAGACCGTCTACGTAGATCTACGGCCGTGACGCAGTGACATGACTGTGGATCTATCTACAAGTAGAAGCATTCAATGCATGCACACGATTTGTGGATGTCTGCAAGGCATGTATTTCTTGACTCTTGCCTTCACAAACATGTAATAGAGTACAGCCAATACATGGATGTGAGGGTGAATCCAAACACGGTAAGAGACAATAAAACATATCAATGGGTCGTTAGAAGTCATCACACAAACCCTGCGTGGCCTTACCTGAGGGCAGTTTGCAAATCGCTGTCAAGGAGTCCCCAAATATTATTCGAAGAACAGTTAGGCACTGCAGCCACAAAGCTGAAAACTCGTCAGCAGCACACAGGGTGTTGGAAACCTATTTGAGTTCCGCGTACCGATAATGCATCCTCAGCGACGCGTTGTCGTTGCAACGACGACACGACGGAACTCATGTAGCTCGGACACAGAGCTCTAGGGTAGAGTAGTAGAGAGCGAGCAAGAACTCACTTTACTTGACTTGTCAGTCACGAAATAATGTTGCCTCGTGCGCTGGACTGCTTGTTTCATGCAGCGCGTGTGCGATCCTAGCAGTCAGTGTGCAGCAAGATGCTCTGACTCAGTTTTCCTCACAACCGCACCTCACACTACAACGTACTTTTCACTGTTCCTCGTGACACTCAGACTGTCAATTGCTTCCAAGTTCCACCTGTCAATGTCGCGCGTATCCATTGCAAGGGTATTGAGCACTCTTCGGACAGACTCAGTGAAGCACACCACTCGATTACGTGCAATGGCATTTTTACTAGGCAGTCGATCTTTTACTTTTCGAGACCGCACACTCGGCACAATGATTATGTGGTCTATCGCTAAATGATGTACAGCCATGTACTAGTAAAAATGTCATGTAGATCTACGTCCATGTTGTTGGTTTGACAGCATGAAACAAGGCGGAGGACTGTACTAGTATTGGCTTATCTAATATCTGCGTACATGTATCCAATTTTGACTGAGTAGGAGGTCAATAATAGGAAGATAAAGGCCGAGTAAAGGACCGAGGCGAAGTCAAAAGTCTTTTACGAGGTTTTTATTTCCAATATTGACCTAGTACGAAGTCAAAAACTTATCACGACTAGCCAACGCATGTGTTCAATCCCTAAAAATAAGTCAAATTAAAGCAGTCAATATAGCCCTAAGGTGTGAAATAAGCAGGAATATTTGACTGCTTAAAAATAGTCACAGTTCGCGTGAGACTCGGCTGCAAGCCGAGTTTTCCGCATCCACAGGAACGTCACCAGGCCCTCCACCCTCTAAGATCAAGTCACAGATGCAGCTCCCAAAGCGGTGGGAGGTGAGTAGATCCGATCCACCACAAAGTGGTCAAAGACCGAAATCCCATTCACTGCATCCATGTTTCCCTAGCTCGTGCCCGAGGAAGCTGAGACGCTCCCTTCCTCCTTTATTCCCAATCGAACTCGCGCACTTCCACCGAAACTGGGTGACTGCGCCCTACTAGATGGGGATTTGTATGCAAAATGTCACTAAAAGCGCTGTTTCGTTCTTATAAAACCACGGATGACCGCGATTGGCCCATATGTTGTAGTCTTTTGGACGCTGAGTCGACTGGTTTTGGTCCGAAAAGGCTGCGATGTAGCGTTCGGCCATTATTCCCAATCAAACATGGCTGAACAAGCGGTCACGTGCTCCTGTGTACACCAGTCACCTGGTGTCCTGGTTACGGTGCCTGCAGGCTACAACTAATACAGCATGTTTGAGCGAGTTTCTGAACCTTTGAACTACACGTGTACCTTTGAGTTGAACCTGTAAAAAAAAAGTAAATTATCGTGTCCGTTCCCGAAGGGAACTCACGACGGCCGCTAACACCGATAAACCCTAGCGGCAGATGCAGCGCCTAACGGTGGGGGTGATTGGATAAGTCTCACAACCACTGGCACAAGTGCCGAAAACGACCCCAGTAGCTGCATCCATGTACCCCTTGTGCCTGGCCACAAGTTCCCAGTTGACTGTGGGTAGCAGCACGGCTGGAAAAACCGCTCCCAGGCAGGACTTGAACCAGGTACCTCTCGTATCTCAATCATGGTCTTTGACCAACCCACGTCCACTGTGCCTGCCTGGTAAACCTGTCCTTGGTGTGAAAGTGGCCGCTGTTGGCAGAGCCCCGGTCCCTTCGGACCATTTGAACCATAATTATGGGTGTTGAATGGGCCTCGACCAAAATATGATTGCGCATATTTCGGCATATTTTTGTGAGACAGTTCATTATGGCATATTGAGCGACAAATTGAATATTGGAATGAAGCTAGCATTATAATTCAAATATTCTGAAGAAAATGAGGACAAAACATTATGGACAAAATGCGTTCAGAAATGCCTTTTATGGATGAATTTGGAATGGTTGAGGCGTTTGCTACATTTCCCCATGGATGAACACTATCGCTACTGTTGCTGGGGACACACCCCAGCCATACTATTCCGGATGTGTTTTGATTTGCACCATAAGCATGATAGCCGTGAAGCCAATGAATATTCCAAGGTTGTAATTTTACTGAAATGATCTACACTTTCTGCTTATGTCGAGCATATTTTGGCATATTTTGGCATATCATTTTGGCATAACTTGCTAAGCCTTTGGCATATTATGGACGTTTTCCCTGATATGCGACGAGCATAATATGCTCATTTTTTTAGCATATTTGGTCAAGGCCTAGTGTTGAACCCGGTTCTGACCCTCATTTAGGCATTATGCTAGGGTTTTTATTTTATTTTATTTTTTACGTCCGTCGTGTATTCGGGAGTGAGGTCCTACGTGTCATGCGATTGAAATAGTAACAATGTGTGGCAGCATGGTGGAAGCTGGTTCAAAAACAGCCAACCATTAGATTGTTTTTGAACCAGCTTCCACCATGCCGCCACACATTGTTACTATTTCAATTGCATGACACGTAGTACCTCACTCCCTGGTAGTACACACATCCTTTATTGCTGAACCCACAAATAATTGTGATACAGATTGTAAACCATTCGAGGTAGAAGAGAAAGCCATAAAAAAAGAATACTTACCACAAGTTACCCGTCATGTGTCACACTTCTTTGGATTTTGAACCTTTGTTTTTCCCTTGATCACTTTAGTTCCGTATTTCCACTGATGATCGGAGCTTGAAAATCGATTTTGGAAACACACAAAACCAAACCTTGAACAAATTGTCATGTTGCGTGGTGATGTCTGTGGCATTCATACTTTTCATAGCTATTATAAAACTTTTATCTCCACGTAGATTATTTGTATAAAAAAGAAAAGAAAAAGAAAAAAGAAAAAAGGTTATTGTACCATGCCAGTAGGCCTGGGCGGATAATGCTAGCATTATATGTAGCATTATAGTGTGCGATTTGCAACGAGCATTATGCTAGCATTATAACACTACATTTCCGCAAAAGTGGCATTATACTAAAAAAAATGGCTCTTACTTCTGCGGAAACCAGACTTAGGGTGAAAATCATTTTTTGGAGAAAAATGATGTTTTGTAAAAAAGGTTGTGTCGCGTGGACGCTCGAGTGCAGTGAAGTGGAACCAAAGTCAAGAGAATCTCGCTTGTTTGAAGAAGTAGCAGTCATGGCAGGAAGGTTTTCAGCAGTCAGGGAAGTCAAAGGGCTTCCGGTAGAATATTCCCTGCTACTCCTCTAGGCACAACGAAGAGTTTTTGAGCTGATCGAACGGATTCCATCTCCTACACTCAGGGATGGCGAAATTTCTGCGCTAGCTGCTGCTTGCGGAAAATGGTGAAAAAATTGTCTCCAGTTAGAGTCGTGATGGCGATAGCGAGGAGAACCTGGACGACATCGATCCAGCCAATCGAATTACGAAGATACTAGCTGTTTCTGGGCCTCACACAAAGGGAACACGCGCAGCAGAGCTCATACGTTTGCAGCAAGTTCACCAGGAAAAAGGCTTGAAGCGCAGTGTGAAAACTGTTTTGAATTGAAGTCCTTGGCGATGAAGTGCTACTGAATTCCAGGCGAATGAGCGAGCAGATCAAGAGGCCTCCATAGTGTTTCCTCGCTGGACAGCTAGCTGCAAGGGATTGTATGGAGCAATAGCAGCATAAAATTAGCATTATGATCATGATTTTTTAGCATTTTCCATACCGTCTACGTAGAACTACGAAACGTGCACAATACTGCCCAAAACCAAGCCATTTTTCCATACTTACTTCTGGTGAATTGCTGGCATTACAGAGGAACAGCAGCATTGCAAGTAGCATTATGATACAGTTTTTCTGGCATTGCCATTAGCATTATCCCGCAAAATAACTAGCATTATCCGCCCAGGCCTACATGCGAGACGGCTATTATTAAGTCATGTACCAATTGTAGTACATGACGTAGTAGTCACGCACCTACAAAATACTTTGCAGGATAATATTTAAATTGCCTAGCATGCCTACAAATCCGCAGAGCATGCCAATATTAAATAGGCCAACATATGAATAACGAAGGCGGTTACATGGACAAAAGGCGACATCGGTCGAGAAAAGATGGGCCTATTCTCTTCCGCAAGTAAGACGCTCTGCAACCACGGTCCCGAGGCCAGACATTGCTCTATGTAAATAGTAGCTGTGTAGAATTTTCTATGCTCATTCCTACCGAGTAGTTCCTTTGAAAAGGTCAAGAAATTTTCTCAGAGGTGGTTGTCTGTGAAGAGACAAGATGTCTTCCGCAGTTGGACACCTCCACGTTCACCCTAGGATTAACTCCACTTGATACGAGTTGACACCGGAGGTAAGACGTAACTCAAGCTTGTTTTTTCTTTAAATTTATGAGGGTATGCACGTAACTAACAAAACCGCATGATCAAATTGAGGCACTTGTAGTTGTTTAGGTTTGTAGATGAAATTCAAGTTTTTTCAACAGTACAAGTTTACGTGACATCAACAACATACGAGTTTGTTCCCAGCGGTACTGATGAAGGTAACCAACGTGTAGCAAAATTGAAGCAGTTGCTCAGGTTTGTAGATGAAATTCAAGTTATCTTGACCAGTACTAGTTAACGCGACAACATCAACAACAAACAAGTTAACTAGTGGAGGTAACCAACGTGTAGCCGGGGTGTTCCGACGTGGTGAAGGCCTACCCATGGCCGGGTCGGGACATCACCAATCCTGTCTACAGAGAGCACCTTCTCGCGACAGTGTCATGGTGGTGGCAGTAACTGTTGCCAGCTGACGAGCTGAGAGAAGGACGCCATGTGCAGAAGTTGGAAGAAAAGAAGATAAAGAAAAGCAATTCAGGTTTAAGTAGCTACATGACTACCAGGACTGATCAAAGAATACAGGACGGACGTAAGGAGAAGTCTAAAAAACACCTAGCATAATGAGGGTCAGAACCGGGTTCAACACCCATACATGGGTGTATGGTCCGAAGGGACCGGGGCTCTGCCAACCGCGGAAGGTTGTAAGGTCACTGTTTCCGAACACAGTGTCCTCCACCTTGTTTCAATATATGTACTGACCTGTGCCACTCAGCAGTACACATAGGGGAAAAAGTAAAAGGAAATCTAGCTCTGAGTAGGAACTAAGAGTCAAGTAATTAGTTGTAGTTGTGAAAAAAGGCGGGCAGAGGTGTTGGGGAGACAGCTATTAGGGAGAGGAGCACGGCTGGCAATAGGCGAGTCAGTGGGAGCGTTTTTTAGTCTTTGAGTGACGGCCAGCGTGAGCAGAGTGGCATAGTTTGGCAAACTGTAGGGGAGTGTGATATTCGGGTGCTCAGGTTAAGGTACAGCATTTTTGTTATCAGTTAAGTTTGGAGTTGATTGTTCCAACTAGGAACACACGCTTCTTGCAGAACTTGACACTTGACTGACTCAGGACTGCCATCCAGAGCACACGAGGAGCACGTCGCACCTTCCACTCGGCAAACCTGCAAGAAAGCACCACTCCCTGCTCAATACACAGTGTTTCGGGGAATTCACCCTTCACCAGTTGAGCTTGGGTAGGCTGAGGAAGATTGCGCCTGCAAAGCACCACATACACACTGCTCTCCAGGCCAAACCATCACCAGGGATACAAACGTCAAGTGTCAAGTTCGGCAAGAAGCGCGTGTTCCTAGTTGGAACAATCAACTTCATGACTATTACCGCCGAAGTTGCAACTTCTAAGTTCGTGTTGTTGTCCCTCACGCGGAAGTGCGACTAGTTGTTGGCGGTGACAGCGCTGTGAATAGCTACTGGCTCTCAACGTCTGTTTAGCACAACTCCATGAGCGACTCTTACTCACGCTGCTACCTGGGGCTTCACGAGGTGTTTGTCGCACTGGAAACAAAGCATCTCTGTAAGTCTGTATCCCTGGTGATGGTTTGGCCCGGAGAGCAGTATATAATTGGTGCTTTTCAGGTACTCAAGCTCAACTGATGAGGGGTGAATTCCCTGAAACACTGTGTATTGAGCAGGCAGTGGTGCTTTCTTGCAGGTTTGCCGATTGGAAGGTGAGACATGCTCCTCGTGTGCTCCGGGTGGAAGTCGTGAGTCAGTCAAGTGTCCAGTTCGGCAAGAAGAGTGTGTTCCTAGTTGGAACAATCAACTTCGTGACTAATTGTGCCGAAGTCGCAACTTTCGTAAATTTGGAGATGAGAAATATACGAGGCGGATGGAACTTATTCACATGCCTGCATTTAGAGATAATCTCAGATCGCTTGTTCAGCACAAGCTTGTCCAGTGTGCCATAAGGATGTCACTTGGTCCGGCCTCTTGTACGGGCAAAAATACCATCTTGATCAATAATAGAAATGCAACTAAAACCCAAAACAATTTTAAAATGTAAAGAACTCGAAGCAAATGAAAAGAACCCAAAGTTAAAGAAAAGAACCCAACCAACCGCCATGAAGATGTGGAATTTCTCTTCAATACACATAACTGTACATGTAGTCATTGAGTGTACAATGTACGCAATCAGCACTCAGCCGAAGGCCTGAGATTGGCACACACCGGGCTAGCATCCAGCAGCCATAGGTGGGACCATGCATCATAAGGGTAAATGAAGGTAGGTACGGTAAACAACAGAGAGAAACACACAACACTTTTTGAATTATCGATCATAGGAAACACGAGAAGGTTTGGAGGAAATAGGACAAATATCTAGCCATACGAAAAAATGATGATTATGATAGTGCTTCGAAGTAGGACAACACCAGTTTCTCACTTGCTATTGTCAAGGAACCGTGGGCCTGCGCACTGTGTATGATTTGAGAATGTTCTTGTAAACTTCTCTTTTCTTTGTCAGTTTCACACCTTGCCCAGTGCCTTGTGCCTATTTTCTACAGTACACCATGTCCATCAGATTATCTGGTTCAGCATCACCTTCTCTAGAGAGCCCTTTTGTAGACGAAATAGCAGTCGGGAGGCATTACAGTATCCGTATGTGTGCATGTGTAATGGCGACCGAAGGAAGCAGCTAGTCTGCTGATGCGCGCATGGAGAAGAGGAGCGCTATTTTATTGAAAGGCCGAATGGTACCGCTGACCACTTAATGAGTACATTAATTTGGTTACGGAATATCCATATAATCATGCGAATCGAATGGATTATTTGTGCTAGTGTTGCCATTCCGCGTAGCTCCAGCAGCCTTCTTTGATGGTGTTGATACACATGTACTAGTAATGGCCACACCATAGGCAGGATTCTCCGTACTTGGAGCAGGTGCTCCATGAAGTTGGAATGAGACAGCGTGAGCTGTGTTGTCTTGATGCTGGCTTTCCGCTTGCAGCCTGGATCGCATCTTTTTCATAACGAGAACCACTGCTAGAGTAATGATGACGCCGGCTGCTAACCCAGACACTCCGAGTATGATTGCAATTGGGACAGCTGTTTGTTGTTCATTTGATTCAACTAAAAGTCGGAACACACACACGCGCATACACACACGCACAAGCATACACACAAACACATTATACACAGTGACACACGCACACACAAACACACACACACACACACACACCCACACACACATACACATACATACACACAAGTTCAGGTCAGTAAAAATAGGAACTTTTTAGACAGCAGAGCCCGTGTAAGTGAGTGTCTGTCGAGTGTCAAACATGCTTGCCGATGAGGCATGCGCAGTGATCGGTGTGGTTGATTGACACATTTCCCCTGCCTCAGATTATTAATTTTGACACCACACCGAGTTCATGCATCGCTGTTACGCCACCATAATCCACTGCAACTAGCCATTCGAGGCAAGACACAACATGGCGTCGCGGCAGTCAAGAACCTCTGGAAAGTTCGAGCCTGAATTTTCTGAGAAATTATGTATTCCAAGATGTGCTAGACCTGATTGCCAGTTAGGTGTAGAACGTCAGTACCGTTGGTCAGTGTCGTGCAACGTTATCGCATGCGCTACTTCAGTAAATGTAAAGCAACTGGTGGTGTTAATGGATACTAATGTGACTTGTAGCTCTATGGTCCTTCTTTCTTCCTATAAATTAATTCTTGGCTCTCCACCTGAGTCTAATAATAAAAACCCTCAGCAATCTTGCCACCACCACAAGGAGAAGAAGACTATAAAAGTAAAGGAAGTAGAGCAACAAAATCATCTGTCCACATTTGTTTCACGCTCGCCGCAAATGGAAGGGATCTGGATCCAAGATCAGCCTAATATCTGCTGTTTCAGATGAAAAATTATTCACAGAACCAATGCAGTGACTGCTTGTCTGTAGGCAGGACTACCAGTGGCAATGATAAACCTCATCCCAATGATCCTTAACACAGTTTACACCTGTCACTACATGGATAATTTCCGGCATAGTATATGATATACACTATTCAGCCATAGCCCTGCGTCAAAGCTGCAATGAAGAGCACTCACTGGCGAATTGATTGTCTTATAGTGCTACAAGGCGGTGGAGCTTGTGGAAAATATTGCGCCGGATTCAGCAGCAGATTGAATACCTGCAGCCTTTCTTCTTTTCTGACCCAAACCAAGAGCATTATGGCCCTTGTTGAAGCATTATAATAAGCATTATGAGGTAGTTTTTGGAGCATTATGATTAGCATTATACGAACATCTTCGGAGCATAATCCGCTGGACCCTATTCCTGACCAGGCTTTCCCCGAATCGGCCCGTTTTTCGCCTAATCGACTTTTCGCTTAGCTCAAAAATACATCAAATTCGGCTGCAAAATCAGCTGATTGTTCGAAAATCGGCTTCAAAATTGCAATATATTGGAAAATCGGCTAAAAGAAGTGTTGGCATATTGGCTTCAGGTATTGCATGCTTGCGGCCCTATGTGTTTATAAGCATACTTCTGGGTAGATCTGAGTATCAGTTGTCTGATGATTGCCTAGCGGCTTCAGATATTGGAAATACAGCTCTGCTAGATGGCACTGGCCACAACTGTACGTTGTAGTGTAGTATTTTACCCGTAACAATCTTCCTAATGGCTAGTGTTTTTGTGGAAGGAGGTCAAAGGACACGAGTCACATGACCTCAACGCACTAGTACTACAAGTACTGAAGTAGAGAGGTTGAGTGGTCATGCTTGCAGCAACATCATTCGTTCGTAAACGCACTTTGCAACAACATGTGGTAGATTTTCGGCGATACTCAAAGGAACCCTCCATAATCGGCGAAAAGCTTATCGATTTTAGATAAATGGAAGTTTCCGGAGGAGGAAGGAGGAAACTGTAGTTATCACCAACCCTCACCGCGCCCAGCTCACGCCGCCACGGCGTGCGACCTGAGCTGGGCGCCCTGCCCAGTATGGAACTGTCCTCAAGCCAGTCACGTTTTTGGCAGCCCAGTGAGCTGTCTACCGGATCGCAGCGTTTAGAAGCGCCAAATGCGGCAGGGCCAGTCTCAGGCTGGTCGCGTAGGCGGCAGGCCGGCGGGCGACCGGCAAGGCTGCATTCGCATTTGGATCACCGAAGTGATACAGGTGCTTCGACGGCACTCCGTGGCGCATCAAGGAGGCATCTGGGGCCCAGGCAGCCCGCCCGTAAGCGCACCACCGTATCAGGTATGCGCAGGTGGAGCAGCAGAGCAAGATGTGTGCCGGACACTCACCATCATCCGGTCGACTGCATGGTTGTGCGACTTTACACAGCCGTCACTCATTACTTGCTATTGCTTGCAGAAGGCCAGAATTTTTTTTTTTTTTCGCTTTTTCTCTTCTTCCAGGCACGGCTTCATGTTAGAGCAGTAAATTGCAGTTAGGGACTCAGCTGAGTCAAGCTGGACTCAGCGTGTCAAGTTTGGCATAATACAAGAAGCGCGCTATCCCCAAACAGTTGTGTGGTTATTGTGTGAGTGTATATGCAGGAGTCCGCGGTCACGTGAGGGGGGAGTGATAAGTCTCGTTTTCGGCGAATTTTTCGGCCAGCCGATTTGGGGAAAGCCTATTCCTGACTGCAACCAAGAACTGAAAAACTTACCTGGTGACACGGTGGACCGAGTTGCTTTGGTTGTTGTGGATTCATGTAGAGCAGAGTGAGCCATTCCTTGGGAGCTGCTTTGGTAAGTGGTGCTATATGGCAACGTCCCTGACAAGTCAGTTGGTGAAGTTGACACAAACTGAGAACTGCTGACGCCGCGGCTGGTGAAGATCTGGGGAGTTGGAGTTGTCCCTTTGCAAGAAGCTGGTATAGAGGTGTCGAGAGAGAGAGAGAGAGAGAGAGAGAGAGAGAGAGAGAGAGAGAGAGAGAGAGAGAGAGAGAGAGAGAGAGAGAGAGAGAGAGAGAGAGAGAGAGAGAGAGAGAGAGAGAGAGAGAGAGAGAGAGAGAGACAGACAGAGACAGAGAGACAGAGAGACAGAGAGACAGAGAGACAGAGAGACAGAGAGAGAGAGACAGAGAGACAGAGAGAGAGAGAGAGAGAGAGAGAGAGAGAGAGAGAGAGAGAGAGAGAGAGAGAGAGAGAGAGAGAGAGAGAGAGAGAGAGAGAGAGAGAGAGAGAGAGAGAGAGAGAGAGAGAGAGAGAGAGAGAGAGAGAGAGAGAGAGAGAGAGAGAGAGAGAGAGAGAGAGAGAGAGAGAGAGAGAGAGAGAGAGAGAGAGAGAGAGAGAGAGAGAGAGAGAGAGAGAGAGAGAGAGAGAGAGAGGGGCACATGTTAGGTATGAAGAATGTGTACAGTGCAGAACGATATGTCGAGTAAGAACGAAAGATCAGGTAACGTTACAATCCACTTGGGCAACAAGGCGAAGAAGCCAAAAACACCAGTATTGCTTGGGATATAATTAGTGTCTCGGAGGTGGGAATTTTTCGCAGTCACTCAAGTGCAAAAGATATCCGGGGGAGGGGGGGGGTGTTAACTGACAACCCCTTTATTCAGCTGCTGTTCAGTCAATGCGCTGAGTTACTTGAAAAATGGAGCAAACCGATGAAAACAATAATTGATGGCAGCTTGGGCACAACTATTAATTTTGATAGAGCAGTCGGCAGGTGGCCTGATTTTCTAACACTTTTTGAAAGTTCTCTGTAAAGTGGAAAACGTGAGATTGCAATATGTATGCAGAGACTTGCTCTTGTTGTTGTTGTTGTAGACGTTTATTTAACGTCGCACCACAAACAGGTGATTTCGCCTCCTTTGATACATGTGGACGACAGAAGGAATGAGAGAGAGGGGGGACTGAAGTACGGAGAAAGGAAGGGTAGAAATAAATAAGCAAATCAACCTCAGGGCTACACCAAAGCAAAAACGGAATGGGAACATACTATATACAAGATAGCTTCATACATTATTGCAAAACACGTTTACTATTCTACAGTCCGCTATACCACAGAAACACACTAGCCGAAAAGCATTTAAACGGAGCCATGATGCGCTTTTAGCAGGGCACAGAACTGAAGGTGGCTGGGCTCGGAACGGAGATCAGGCTGGAGCTGGTTCCACAGGACTGCGCAGATGAACTGCATGGTCGCTCGACCCGCAGGACCGGGCCAAAATGGTACTCGAACGAGGTGATGTGCTGCTCCCCGAGTGCGGTCACCAGTAATTCTCACGAAGAAGCAGGTGAAGAGGGAGCTAGCTCGGGAGAACAGACAACGACGGACAAAGACGAGGAGCTTAATGTTAAACATGTCCTCCAGGGTCTCTTGCTCACATCGCTTGTGACGTAAGCGAGACGATCTGCTCTCATTCATGATTTTTGTTTTCTCCTGATTAACGCCCCTACGATCACTCCATAGCCATACAATTATGCACATACACAGTCAGTAGAATGCACTACACCTTGTTGTGCGGAACAGTCGCATACGACGGTGATGTCATCTATAGCGACAATCCCTTGTGTAACTTGCGAAAACACCAGAGGTTCCATTATAGGATTTGGGTTGCACGTGAAGTTGAATACAAACTGCATAGGAATATAGAGAAGGACAGTAGTAATACTCAGGGAGAGTTGCAGCAGGACGATAGAGTGCTCAATGCACCCAGGTGGAGAGCCTTATACACATAAAGAGAACGAAACAAAGCGCTTCTGCAGTAACTTTTGAGTGTCACTGTCTGAAGATGGCTGACCCGCGAGACTCAGAGGTTCGAGTTCTGGTGGTGACAGTCAATTTTTCTTCAGACTTTTTCCCTTTGCATCATTCCCTCAGACCAATGAATATTCTATGACTTGGGGCTTCCGGCGTGCTAGTTTGTAAAAACACCGAGTTGTTTGTCGCGCTGGAAACCGAGCGTCTCTGTAAGTTTGTATCCCTGGTGATGTTTGCGCTTGGGGAGCACTATGTAACTTATAAGTGGTGCTCTTCAGGCACAATCTTCCTCCGCCCACTCAAGCTCAACTGATTAGGGGTGAATTCCCCGATACACTGTATATTGAGCAGGGAGTAGTGCGTTCTTGCAGGTTTGCCGAGTGGAAGGTTCGATGGACTTCTCGTGTGCTCTGGATGGCAGTCGTGAGTCAGTCAAGTGAGAATTCAAGTCCGCAGGAATAGCACAAGCTCCCACCTAGGGAGCAATACACAATTACCGTCATTTCGCATCTGAAATAGCCAGGAAAGTAGCGGTGTTCAAATGAAGGGCAAAGACATAATTATGGCACATACATTGTACATGGCTTACAGTCATTGTTCAGCCATGTACTACATTACCCCTGCTGCGCAAAGGCCCAGCTTGCAAACTAACCTCAATTGGTGTCCCTGGTGGGAAGTCTGCCTGTATGGTAGATTTTGTCCAATTCCGACCATGGCCTTGGTCTCCACTAAAAGAATCAATAGTCCTAAACCGGGTGCCAACATAGAGTCCTCCAGCATAGATCCCATGCAGGTTGTAATAGTATGTCATGCTACATCTAACAGATGATTGTGGTGATGTTGGGCAGAGATGTGGAGTGGTTGCAGTACCAGATGTCTTATTGTTCAATCGGCACAGTAGTTGTTGGAAAGCAAGAAACTGACCTGTACATCACAATCAGAAATACCAACAATAGTCAATATCTGGTCTGAAACTAGGACGGAGGCAGAAAATAGTACAAACAAATATTGTATTATCTACATGCATCTACGCAAGAAGCACCACTAGCCAATTATGACATGTGTCATAAGTCTTGAACGTTTTCGTTCCCTTCTGTTCAAAGTACCTACGTACCGATTTTCGGCAGTGAAAGAAATAATTATGTAAAAATTACTTTTGCTTAGGGTAGGTAACGTTCTTCTTCACGCTAAACGCACGGGTCATCCCAAAGATGACATACAATTTGACACACGGATATGGATAAGACGAACAAACAATATTCCGCACCCCCTTCTCGACGCGCGGGGAGCCGGCACCAACCCATGGCAAACGTAATACCACGGGGCATCTCTTCGGTCCAAAAGTGATCGTCTTTTCCATGGTCGGGGTTTGGATGACGAGCTTCACTAAAAATGTCTTAAGATAGCCATTCTCTGTCATTATCGATAAGAGTCGCTTTAATTCCTCGTTTAATTAAGGTAGCAGCCTGGTCATAAATTTCATATGGCATTCAGTTGACTATAACTTTGGTGTCTCTCAATGGATTTGAGTGAAAATTTCACCACACACTCCTGCCACTATGCTGGCCCTCTGGACATGATTTAAAAATTCCGGCATAGTGCCACGGTGTGCGGGCGACCCAGGAGCCAAACAAATGCATTTATAATTTTTTCACATTTTCTTGCCCATTCTGTCCGTGCGCGGGATCCAAACCTAAAAAAAGTCCAGAAGCAGCCATAGGTGTAGGGATAGGGCCCCTCAACGTGGCCCTGGAATCTGTCACAATGGCACGAGTGGGCGTTCTCTCACAGGCTCCCACAGACCCAAGTCAATTTTTGTATTTTTTTAGGTTTAGGGCGTGCTACGAGGTCGTACCTTTGATACAACATCCAGTGCTGGGACCTCCACAGCAAGCCATTTCCACAGCGCTGCACACCAAATCCAGGATACCCTCAGAAACCGTCAAAGACTACCACTCACGTTTCACTACTGCCTAGTACTGAATCCTACCTGACTTCTTGACACGACTCAAACTTGCCAAAGTCACTATATCAACGTCAACTACAATATTAATAATCAAGCCACATATCTGCAACGTCACGAGGGTGCTGGCAAAAGTCCTGCTGCACGGCGGCGGGCTTCGCCCGCCGCCGTGCAGCCCAATACGTGGCTCAAAAACCTGATTTTTTGGACTTGGAGCAAAATTCTGCACACTTTCACGTGTTTCCATGATACGACAAGTTGCGCACGGTCTGCTGACATTCAAATACAGTGCTGCCAACAAATGACAGCGTGCAACAAAAAAATCTTTCCTTGCAAGGGCACATTTTCGGCCATAACTCTTGAACGGCCGGTCAGATCTGGACACACGCTGCAAGCCGAATCCAGGATACCCTCAAAAATCGGCAAATACTACCACTCACGTTCCACTACTGCCTAGTACTGAATCCTACCTGACTTCCTCACACGACTCAAACTTGCCAAAGTCACTAAATCAACGTCAACTACAATAATCAAGCCACATATCTGCAACGTCACGAGGGTGCTGGCAAAAGTCATTCGCCCGCCGCCGTGCAGCCCACTACATGGCTAAAAAACGTGATTTTTGGACTTCTGCATACTTCTGCACACTTTTGCGTGTTTCCATGATACGACAAGTTGCGCATGGTCTGCTCAGACTCAAATACAGTGCTGCCAAAAATGACAGCGTGCAACAAAAATCTTTCCTTGCAAGGGCACATTTTCCGCCATAACTCTTGAACGGCTGGTCAGATCGAGACAACATTTTCAGAGATTTTGCAGCTATTCAAGCTCTTTCAACTGATGTAGCACTCGATATGAATTAACAAATTCGATTTTCAGGGATTTTACGACCAGGCTGCCCCTTAACATTGGAGGGGAGCATATCCGATGGGCATGGTAAACAAGAGCAAGAACATCGGCAATAAAGTAACATTTGTTGGGCAGTGCTAGTTATCGTTAGTGGTATTCTGATACGGTTTTCTCTGTTTGTCACGTGGTAGGTAGGTCTCTGTTACATCTTGCCGTGTTGGAAGCTTTGTACATACGTAAGTTAGCCCCTGCGCTTTGTGTTCAGAAGGGGAATGTGTTGTCTTTGCAGGTGTTTGGCATTGTTCGTCGTGAAGGTGTGAAATAGATCCCTTGATCTCTTGATGTTTCCCTCTTTTTTCCTTTTTCTTATCACTACGTGTTTGTCACCTAGTGGTTTTGCATGTTGTTTTTGACTCTTAACATTTTTTTCCTTCGTTTCACTTCTACACAAAATTGCAGTGATGTATCTCTGAACTTCTTTTCTTTATAGTTGTCGTCTCCTATTCTATTTCCATCAATCCCTGTAGTATTTTGAGAAGAAGGGAACGAAAACGTTCAATACTCATGACACAGCCTTGTCCTAATAGGTCTTTTGCCAAATAAGACACGCAGTGACTTGGCGGGGCATGGCATGCGTACTGAATGCGTGACCCGGGCACACCATACATGCAGTGCATTACGAGTCACGCGTGAGCTCTTGTTCCTGAACCGGAACGATCAATCACCGCGTTTGGCGTGTACGTGCTCACCCACGCGTCGAGAAAATAGTGACTTCCTTTTTTTTGTGATGCTTGTGACTTTCAAAAACTATGTTTCTTCAAGCGATCGCGATCGACATTCTAGAATAATATAATGAAGACGGTCACTGGATTTTCTCTGCCTAGTTCTTGTAAAGGGTTTAGTTTTGTTTTCTAGAACATCTCTCCAGATATTTTAGCCATGGGAAAGGCGATCACTGCTGCGTTCCGCAGTGCAACAGCGACCGACGTTCAGACAAAATACTTTGTTCCGGCATGTCTTCCCTGCTAGCAAGGAATCGAAAACTGGAGAAGCTAAGAGCGTGAGCAGTGACGAGTTGGACACAAGAAAGTCTTGGATTGCCGCCATTCGTCGAGATGAGCGGAATGGCTACGGGTACCATCATGCCATACAATATAGTGGTGTGTTGAACTGTTCTAACCATTTCACTGATGAATATTATAGTCGCTATCGACGATATCCAAGTGGAGTTCAGCCTGGATATTTAGCTCGGTTTGAAGACTCTGACATTCAGTAGTACACTGGTTTTCCTTTGCTTGCTGCGTTTGATGCATGTATTCAATTTCTTCACCTGGATTATAAGAGCGTCTTTTCTTTCGCAGTAAACCAGTGGATGCCGATTCCCGGAAAAGGAAACCCGGTGATGAACGGAAGATTAAGTTAATTGGCTTGGAGAGCTTTTTCATTACCATGGTTAGTCTTCGCCACGGCACACATACCAATCTCGCCGCGTCCTTCCCAAGTGGCAGACCGATTGCTGGATGTTTTCAAAAAGCTGCATCCTACAACATTCATGATCATAGATGCTACAGTGCCGAAATGTAATATCGCTTCCAGTCTGTCTGCGCAGTCGCAACTCTACAGCTCATATAAGACGCATAACGTTACTACCTTGACGAGCCTCATCCGTATGACCCCAGATGGTGGTGCGGTGCTTACCTCCAAGTCATTTACGGGACCCACCAGTGACCACGAGCTCACAATCAGAAGCCACTACTTAGATATTCTGCCAGTAGCCGGCTATGGGACTTTGATTATGGCAGACCAAGGATTTTACATCCGGGATCTCTTGATGCCATATGGCGTAAAGTTCAAGCGATCCAGCAACAGATGGCCTTAGAAGATGTCCAGAAAACGCAACAAATTGCCACGTTACGAATTCATGTTGAGTGTCAGATGGAGCGAATCAGGGACTTCTCTATCTTTTCAAAGATCGTTCCAACAATTCTTTTCCCTATCATCATTCAGATAGGGATTGCTCGCTGCCTGCTCACAGTATTCCAGGCTCCTTTACTTGCTGAAGCAAAAATTATGTTTTCCATGCCAACTGTTGCTAGCATTGCATGGCGAATTGATCTTCAGCAACACGAATTCTGTCATGCCTGAACAATCATGCACAATACGGAGCAGCTAATGACTTAGTGGGTATAAATGTGGATAGTATTTTAGATTGCAATATTTGCAAAAGTGCAATGAATAATAATACCCATAAAAATAATAATAATAATACCCCTCTTGATTAATATTAGTGCTGGCGGTTTATCAATTTACAAAGGCGAATATAAAAGTATCTTTGCAACCATACAATAGGTCCTTTGGTAGAGCAGAGCTGGACCAAGTTTCAGGAAAACTAGGACGAAATGTAGCTGCTAGAGGGACGATATCCTCATTGCGTCGCTATGGGCTTCCACGAGCTCAGCGTCAACAATGCTCTGAATGGCAGCGGTTTTCCGCTTTCCTTGCCGAGGCCTGCCGCCAAATATATCTGGAGTGCACAGTATTGGATCGATGTGATAGAACCAGGCCCTGAACAGATGGAGAAAGTTAGAATGTAAAACATGTATCGATAAAATGTATTTTTTCTTGTGCGAAATGTTGAAGACTGCATCCTGAAGTGGCACTTAACGATCGAGCAAATCACCCCGTTTCCTGGACACTCCGGCTCCTCTAGCTCGCAGGTAAGTCTTCAACTAGTTGATTGTCCATTTTTCAAAGGACTCGTTGTCCAAAGGCATCAAAACCCGAGCTTTGGGATCGCTAATTCAACTTGATTCTCCCTCGCAGGACTACTATCAAGTGACAACATTCCCTTCATCGCAACGTACCGCCACAAGAGATGAAGTGCTCGGCTCATTAACCGCTTCATCAGCCATGTATCAAACATATCACAAAGGTCCAGCAAGAAGTAAATGCGAAAAACCCTTTCTACATATTGGACAGCAATGAAGAAGCTAGAAGAAAACAGAATCCTTCGCTGTCAGTTTTTTTCCGATCCAGGAGAGTCCCGTTTTTTCTGGCCGCCTGGGTAAGTACACGCCAAACGCGGTGATTGATCGTTGCGGTTCCAGAACAAGAGCTCGCGCTGGGAGGAATGCACTGCATGTATGGCATGCCTGGGTCACGCATTCAGTACGCATGCCATGCCCCGCCAAGTCACTGCGTGTCTTATTTGGCAAAAGACCTATTGGCTGGTGGTGCTTCTTGCGTAGATGCATGCGTAGATAATAATTGTGTGTAATATCTCGTCTACCTTTATTAATTTCTGAAAACGCTAGTACAAACTCTGAGGTTGAGCCAATAGTAATATGTAAAGAGAAAAGGATCTATATTGTAAGTTGAACTCGGATGGTAAGCCAATATAGTTATGATGAAGAAAGGAAAAGGACAAAATGTTACGAGTTATGGCAAACTGTCCACCAACGTAACCAGATCTTATACAGTCACCGAGCGCGACAAAATGGCACAAAACTGACAAGGAGTACTGAGACATTCGGCGACCTGACACCTAGCTCCAACACTTCTCCAAGGCGCAAACCAACAACCTTCCAACTTGGAAGGCTCAGGTTCGGAAAGGTCAAAGAGGGGAAGGAACGCGCAACAAAGAAGAGCATGAGCTACGCGCCACGGCAACAAAGAATGCCGAAAGTTTATGGATGATGACGAAACTTGTAAGACTATTGGACAGACCGGCTCTACTACCACTCGACGACGCAAAGCAACAGACCACCCAACTTGGGAGGCTCAAGTTTATGTAATAATTAATAAACATAGAAAGGGGAAGCTAAGCGAAGACGAATTGTGACAAACCGAAACGTCAATATCCTACTGAACTTCACTATCATGTAAATGTGATGGACTAGTAGTTATGTACGATAACAAGTGTTTCACACGACGTACGTTTCGCCGTATAGGTCATGACGGCTCATCAGGTGTGCAAAGTTGAACTCCCAGCCCGCAGAAGCCGCTGTAGAGCCAGCTGTGGTCAGTGTGGAGACAGGTGTAGCTAGCAACACAGGGCTGAACACTGCCTCAGTCAACAGCTATCGCCAGGCACTTTTAGCCAATGGGACCAGCAGCACTGGTACAACTGATACCACTAATAACCATGTGCCGGCTTTCAGCCAACCTGGAGACAAAGAAAAGAGCAGCGGGACAACCCCCTCCCCTGATGAAGAAGGCTTCAGACTTGCAGCAGGCAAACACACCTTCTCCGCCACTGTCCTATCTCCTGCCTCTGCCTTGAACGACCCGCAAATTGCGTGGGCTAAGGAGTATTCAAACCGTGAGCGCAAGAAGCTGGCAGAGAGAGTTGCAGCTGCCCGCAGAGGAAGGCACTAGTGCAATGAAGGTAATTACGGTCCGTCAGTGTTAACTATTAGTGGTATGTGGTACCTTTCTTTCTTTCTTTCTTTAATACTTACTGCACTACTTGCTCTTAATCCCCATGCTGATCCCTTTTCCCTCGTGCTACTATGCAGCCTCCCGCTTCTCTTAAGATAGGCTTCATTAACGCATGCAGCCTCCGGCATAAGGTACGTAACGTAAGCTCGACGTGCTGGGTATAGCGGAGACGTGGTTGGATTGCACTATCTCAGACGGAGAGATAAGAATTCCAGGATATAGTATAGCGCGTTCTGGCCGTGTAGGGCGACGTGGTGGCGGGACATGCTTCTACTACCGCCAGCACCTCCCTATCGTGCCTGCTGCCGACATTACTTCGGAAGGGGTGGAGTCTACGTGGCTCGAATTGAGAGGGCGCCAAGAACGGCACCTCCTAGCATGTACCTACAGACCACCAGATGCCACAATCGCTTTTTGGCCCAAGCTTGAGGTTATGCTGCACCAGGCCACAGGGCGTCGACTGTCACGCTTGTTGGTGATCTGAATGTGAACGTAGATCAAAGTAATCCCAGTGCACAGTTTCCTCACCTCATGGATATGTGTCGCTCTTACTGCGGTCTCCGCAACTTGGTCAATGAACCAACTCGAGTAACGCCTGGGTGTCCAGTACTACACACAGTACTGGACCTGATCAGTCTGGCACGGCACGTCCTGATGTGTCGACGGCGGCAACTATTGCTCCTCAGACCATCAGTGACCATTTCGCAATGGACGCCTGTCTTCAGCTTAAGGTTGAGAGCCCACCACCACAGACCCAGCGCCTAAGTCGAAAGCTTCACAAAGTGGACATGGAGTTGCTTCGTCAGGACTTGGCTGCCGCTCGACTTCATGAGTTTGAGAACCATGACGATGTCAACAAGATGTGGGACAAATGGTACTCTGCGTTCATGCAAGTCCTCAATTGCCATGCACCTCTGGCATCGACAAAGGCAACGAAGGCTTCTCTCCCTCCCTGGTCAGATAGAGAGCTGTTCCAGCTGGTAAAGACAAAAACAGATTGCATGCCCGCTGGTTGAAGGATAGAGCCAACCAGTCGCTTCATCAGGAGTATAAGCGAACCCGATCGCAGGCAAGTAATGCTCGACGACGGAAACGAAACCAGTATTTTGCTGTGCAGTGTCAAGTAAATGCGAGAAATGCGCGGAAGACCTGGCAGTTAGTCGATGCCGTCACCGGCCGCACACGCCACAAGCAAGAGCCAACCTGCAAGGTTGATGAAATCAGCGAGGCCTTCCATCGGATTGTCACGGATCATGAACGTCCCCAGGTTCTCTCTGTTCCAAGCGGCCCTCCCACCATGGACTCGCTCCATCGCTTCGACCCAGTCGCTCCATCGGATGTCTACACGTATCTGGTGCAAATTGATGCTTCGAAAGCAACTGGCAGTGACGGAATTCCAGGATCCGTTTTGAAGGAATGTGCTGATGTTCTGGCGTATTCACTTGCCGTTTTATTCTGTGCTTCGCTCCGGACTGGTGTAGTGCCCTCAGCGTTGAAACTGGCTTCAGTCGTGCCTCTGTATAAATCCGGCGACCCCTCCCTCCCCAATAATTATCGACCTGTGTCTATACTCCTCATTATCTCTAAACTACTTGAGAAGATCGTCCAACGCCAACTTGTCCGCCACCTTCGAACTAACCAGTGCCTCCCTACTACCCAATTTGCCTACCGTCAGCGCCACTCCACTGAGGATGCCCTCTGCCTACTCACTGACAGTCTCTTCGCTGCCAAGGACGGGGGAAATGTGACCGGACTATGCACATTGGACATGTCCAAAGCATTCGACAAAGTCCGCCACACACAGCTCATTGTCGATCTGTTTGACGTCGGTGTGTGCGGATCGACCCTCACCTGGTAATAATAAATAATAATCTATATTTCAGGATTACCCAAAGGCTAACGCCTATCTGGGGGATCTCCTATTTGTGTATGTCGATTCAGCTTGTCCTATTGATTACGGTTATCAAATTATTATCTCCTCGCCGTTTGTTTGGATATTAGTCAAATTTTTTCATTTATGAGATCTACATGACTGTTTGTAGTGTTTGTCCCTATCATAAAAAGGAAGGTGTGGGTACTAGGTAGCCATTTCACTAGGCTCATCCGTTGCCTCCTCTCTCAAGTACAAGTACGACAATTAGTTCCATGTTATATGTAGCAACTGTTCCAATTTATTTTAATAAAAAGTTACAGAAACGTCATAATAGTATGTTCCCTATCGTGTACTTTTGACTCAGCAGTCGAGAATCACTATAATCACATGTATACTCACCATCTTCTGTCATTGTAGTATGATCCACTGCTGGGCCACTGGGATTAGCCTTGTTAAAGAGATAAGCAAGGTTTTTTTTGCCGTAACGACTTTCAGGAATGAAGAATAACGGACGGGTGAGAGAGCGCCAGAGAAAGAGTACGTTTCATTAAGACAACCTGCCGAATAGAAAATTAGAATCACAATTGGTCCGTTATGTAGACATAAAGAAATGGATAAGGGAATACATACACACACCCGCCCAGCACGCCTAGCCTGCGGTATTGTTTAGTGGGCTGAGCTACAGGCCCAATACCACAATTTTGCAAAAACAATCTGCACTGAGATGTTTCGGGAGCTCTAGGGAGCAAGACACAGTTCGTGTCTCTTTCTCTTCTTCTTTCCTTTTTGCTCCCTTTTGGGGTCCCTTTCTCGCTGATCCAGTGCCTGCATGCCGAATAGGGTACTTGGTCAGAGATCGATATTAAAATAATTAACAACGAAACCCCATTTTCGCGATTTGGATGGGTCAACGGCGCGAACCGTGAATTTTTTAAAAGCCTGAAATCAAATTTTCACCAGTTGTAGTCTTCAGGGTGCTCAGTCGAATGGTCTTGGTCCGAGGAATCTGAGACGCTCCCTTCCTCCTTTATTCCCAATCGAACTCGCACACTTCCACCGAAACTGGGTCACTGCGCCCTACTAGATGGCAGCAGCTTCGATTTACCTTCTCCGTCTTGCACCCTCCCCCCCCCCCCCCCCGCCCCTATGCAAGCAACGCAGCTGCTGAACCATTGGCATAGCTTCCTAAGCTAATCTGGTACTGACTCACTCACTCACCCTCCCTCACTCACCCCCCCCCCCCCCATCTCTCTCTATCTCCTTCATTCTCTGGCTTTCAGGCTCTCACTCTTTCACACACAGTCTTTCTTCTCTCCCTCTTCCCCATGGACATGGTGCGTGATGGGTGCCTTGATCCCGAGACAACTGATCGGGGGGTCGATAGCGCACTTCACCTCACCGGCACAGCTTTATAGCACCTACACGCCCTGTGTAGTCCCCTATGTTCTCTTGCTGTTGTTCACAAATGGACTGCAGTGAAAGATGGTGGTGGTGGTGGCGCTGATTTCTTTTACATAAAAGAGATTACTGTGTGAAGGCTGAAGAGTTGAGAAGAGGGATAAAGATGAGAATGAACAATAGATAGAGTGTATGAGTGCGTTCGCGGACGTGAATTGATGTGAGAGAGTAGTTTACATGTACATGTATAACGATGGGTAAGTCGAACAAAATGAGGACGGAGACCTCTACACCAGGTTGAGAGATTTAACCTGGGAAGAGAGACAAAGACTCGGAATAGCCTCGAGGAGCTTTTTCAAAAGTGAGGAAGAAAGACTCGTGGTAATAGGAGCAAGCTGGCAGCTCACCGTCATGACCCTCGCTCAGCTTGTTCTTTACGTTTATTTGAAGTTTTATTTTACATCGCAAACCAAACGGGCATTGATGCCCAATATTATGATGGCGATAAAATTGAAAGTGTGGCTCGATAAAGCTGCACTTGAGAAAATGAGAAAACAGTCAATAGGAAGTATTTGTACCGGTAATTGCAAGTCAAGTTCGAACGAAGTAACAATCAGGGAGAAATAGGAAGATGAGGACCTATGCCAGAGGGAGGTGCTATTCGGCCATATTAACCGTAGAAAAACACTTTCGAAGTAAATGAAAAGGCGACGAGGAGACAATAACTTTATTAATGCGATTAATAGTATAAGTGAAGCGGACATTACAAAATGATGAATGAGAATACATGTATCTAAAATGGTTGTTCCTAATCGATTTTCTTGAGACTATCATCAGGGAAAAATCGTCTCACAATAGAGGCTATACGGAAAACAAACTACTTATAGGTTATAGGATAGTGGGGAGTATACAAGGTGAGGTGTGAAGAAAAAAAAACTAAAGTGGGAGAGAAGACGAAAGAAATTAGAAGAAAAGATGTGAGAGTGTTCAGACGGTGTGAGCTACTACAAAAGGTGAGTGAAATGAAGGCGTGGAAGCAGGTGACTGTGATAGAGTGAGGAAGTGTGAGGTGTAGGTGTATGCGAATGTATGTGTGTGAATGCTAGGTGAAGAGTCTCAATTTTGTGACATTTTCTTTCTGAATGCATAGATTAGGATTGTGTTTACGGATGAAAACAGCTTCTAATACCTTAAGTTCACGAAACCTACGAGCACGGCACAAAACAGTGAAGCATGAATCGTCATACACTGAGCGGCATTGGCTACTAGACAAGAGGTGTTTTTTAATTGCTGACCCTTTCGTTGTGCTCTCACCTTCAGTCCGGTCATCTTCATCTTGGTTGTCCAACTCACTCTCTTCATCACTGCTCACACCTTCTTCATCCTCTTCCTCTTCCATCCCGTCCTCTGCACCCGACGACAATCCCACGCTACTGCTCACTGCCAGTCCATGTCCGGTTGTAGATGCCATTACCAGCGCACGAGTCATGCTCCTTGTTACTGGTCTCCGTACCTGTGCTTGTCCATTTCCTACAGTCTCACGTAACTGTGCACTTGCAGTGGGTTCACCCGCTGCTGTAATAGTGTGGTTCTGTTGTGCAACTGGCACCTGTTTGCGGGGACGGCCTCGCCCAGGTCGCTGGGCTTTGGCTGCATCTGACAAAAGGTACAATGGTACATGTTGTTTGACGCGTGCGTTCAGGTGCTGAAGGGTTCTTCCTACATATCGGCTATCACAATGCCGACATTCAAAATGATAGATTACATGGCTAATTAGTTGGGTAGGAAGAACATCCTTCTTCACCGTGAACGCACGGGCCGTAGTGAAGACAGTTGTCAATGCTGTGGCAAAATAGGTTTGTCTGACCACAGTCCTCACGGCGCGGGCCACATCCAGCGAAATTTGACCTTTCCATGGAAGTCGTAAAAATACACGACATGGGTCAGGTCCAAACTCAGGCTCGGCAACCTGAATATCAGGTTCACTAAACAGCTTACTGAGGAGCTGAACAGGATATCCATTCCGAACGAATACCTTCTTCAGGAAACAAAGCTCTTGCTGAAGCTTATCAGGCGAGCAAATCCGCCTAGCGCGCATGATCAAATTTCGTACGAGATTAGTTTTGTATAAAGTCGAGCAATAGGAGTCGTAGACAATGTATTGCCCGGTGAACGTTGGTTTTCGATATACTGAAGTTGAAACAGCCATCTCCGTTTTCTCGACTAACACATCGAGAAAAGACAAACGGTTTGACTGCTCATGTTCACATGTAAATTTCAGAGCGGGATGTAGGTTGTTGAGCATACCAAGAAACTCATTCGATTGTTCCAGATTACGGAAATGCGTGAACGAATCATCTACGAATCTAACATATAAGCTTGGCCACATCGCACTTGGAATCTTCGATTCATAAAACCCGACAAACACATTGGCCAGAACTGGACCTAATGGTGAACCCATGGCCACCCCGTCAATTTGGCGGTACATGGTGTCATCAAAAGAAAATTCAACATCAGTTGTCATCATCTGCATTAGTCTGCGGAACGCAGTTTCGGACATCCAGGGAGAATCGAACTGTTTACTGTACTCTTTATCGTGGTACAGAGCATTAGCGCAAATGTCAATTGTCTCCATCACGGGCACATTGGTGAACAAGCTTACAACGTCGAAGGAGCACATGTGGGAAGAAGACGGTACTGGCTGCTCACGCAGGATATCGATGAATTGGAAAGTGTCTTTTACATTGTGTTTGCAATAGTACTTAGCCACTGGTGTAATCATATCGCACAACCATTTCGAAACTGTATATTGAGGTGAACCACACATTGAAAGTATTGGGCGAAGGGGACAATCCTTCTTATGGATTTTTCGGCAATCCATAAAGTCTGGGCCGTGTTGAACCAATCGGTTTAATTCGTAAGTACTCATATTTAGATATTTCCTCTGCATTCCGCAGCTTCCGCAAGTACTTGATGATATCAGATTCTATAGCAATTGTACGGTCGTGTATCTGTACAGGGCCTAACTTAACAAACTTCGACCGATCATCAAGGATAGTAGCCATCTTCGTGTGGTATTGTTCTTTAGTGATTATAACAGTGGCTCTACCTTTGTCCGGTCTCGTGATAATAATGTCTTTCCGTGCTCTGAGATCTCGGAGGGCTTTCAAGTGCTCTCGAGACAAAGAGAAAGATTTACGGTCTGGTTGTTGTGTGGCATGCTCTTCAGCTATCGATCTCAGCTTGGCAGCACAAAGTGACTTCTGAGTATCCGAACAAGGTCTGAATTCAGATAATTTATTGTAAAGTAGTTCAAATTCCATTAAAGTCACTTCAGGTTTCAGCGAAGTAGGAGGAACTCCGTAATCAATGCCCCTACACAAGAGATCTTTCTCTATGTTGCTAAGTTCTACATTGGCGATGTTGATGATGGTGCTATGGTCAATGGTGAAGGAGCCGAACCGTTTCTTACGAAGCCAGTTCAAATTCTTACGATATTTTGTAATCAGGCGAACTTGTTGGTTAGCGTCGTTCTGAGACAGAAGGTTCGAGAAACGCAAGAAGTCCAACGGCGAGAGAAAGGAACGAGCCAGAGCGTATAGATGTCTGAACTGGGATTTGACTTTGCTAAGAGTGTCCTTACTACGGCTAATATCGTCTTTGATAAAAACCCGTTCCAGCTTGAGTGAATGATAAGCTTTTGCCTTGTGAACGCGGTTTTGTATAGACTGAGGGCAAACACCATACTCTAAACATTGTGTGAGGAATGTAAGGTTATGTGCAATACTACGGCAAACAAAGCGCTTCCTAATAATTGCGTTCAGGCAATCAACCTGAGTAGCAGAATATCTCCTTTTGAAGTAAATGAAAAGGCGACGAGGAGACAATAACTTTATTAATGCGATTAATAGTATAAGTGAAGCGGACATTACAAAATGATGAATGAGAATACATGTATCTAAAATGGTTGTTCCTAATCGATTTTCTTGAGACTATCATCAGGGAAAAATCGTCTCACAATAGAGGCTATACGGAAAACAAACTACTTATAGGTTATAGGATAGTGGGGAGTATACAAGGTGAGGTGTGAAGAAAAAAAAACTAAAGTGGGAGAGAAGACGAAAGAAATTAGAAGAAAAGATGTGAGAGTGTTCAGACGGTGTGAGCTACTACAAAAGGTGAGTGAAATGAAGGCGTGGAAGCAGGTGACTGTGATAGAGTGAGGAAGTGTGAGGTGTAGGTGTATGCGAATGTATGTGTGTGAATGCTAGGTGAAGAGTCTCAATTTTGTGACATTTTCTTTCTGAATGCATAGATTAGGATTGTGTTTACGGATGAAAACAGCTTCTAATACCTTAAGTTCACGAAACCTACGAGCACGGCACAAAACAGTGAAGCATGAATCGTCATACACTGAGCGGCATTGGCTACTAGACAAGAGGTGTTTTTTAATTGCTGACCCTTTCGTTGTGCTCTCACCTTCAGTCCGGTCATCTTCATCTTGGTTGTCCAACTCACTCTCTTCATCACTGCTCACACCTTCTTCATCCTCTTCCTCTTCCATCCCGTCCTCTGCACCCGACGACAATCCCACGCTACTGCTCACTGCCAGTCCATGTCCGGTTGTAGATGCCATTACCAGCGCACGAGTCATGCTCCTTGTTACTGGTCTCCGTACCTGTGCTTGTCCATTTCCTACAGTCTCACGTAACTGTGCACTTGCAGTGGGTTCACCCGCTGCTGTAATAGTGTGGTTCTGTTGTGCAACTGGCACCTGTTTGCGGGGACGGCCTCGCCCAGGTCGCTGGGCTTTGGCTGCATCTGACAAAAGGTACAATGGTACATGTTGTTTGACGCGTGCGTTCAGGTGCTGAAGGGTTCTTCCTACATATCGGCTATCACAATGCCGACATTCAAAATGATAGATTACATGGCTAATTAGTTGGGTAGGAAGAACATCCTTCTTCACCGTGAACGCACGGGCCGTAGTGAAGACAGTTGTCAATGCTGTGGCAAAATAGGTTTGTCTGACCACAGTCCTCACGGCGCGGGCCACATCCAGCGAAATTTGACCTTTCCATGGAAGTCGTAAAAATACACGACATGGGTCAGGTCCAAACTCAGGCTCGGCAACCTGAATATCAGGTTCACTAAACAGCTTACTGAGGAGCTGAACAGGATATCCATTCCGAACGAATACCTTCTTCAGGAAACAAAGCTCTTGCTGAAGCTTATCAGGCGAGCAAATCCGCCTAGCGCGCATGATCAAATTTCGTACGAGATTAGTTTTGTATAAAGTCGAGCAATAGGAGTCGTAGACAATGTATTGCCCGGTGAACGTTGGTTTTCGATATACTGAAGTTGAAACAGCCATCTCCGTTTTCTCGACTAACACATCGAGAAAAGACAAACGGTTTGACTGCTCATGTTCACATGTAAATTTCAGAGCGGGATGTAGGTTGTTGAGCATACCAAGAAACTCATTCGATTGTTCCAGATTACGGAAATGCGTGAACGAATCATCTACGAATCTAACATATAAGCTTGGCCACATCGCACTTGGAATCTTCGATTCATAAAACCCGACAAACACATTGGCCAGAACTGGACCTAATGGTGAACCCATGGCCACCCCGTCAATTTGGCGGTACATGGTGTCATCAAAAGAAAATTCAACATCAGTTGTCATCATCTGCATTAGTCTGCGGAACGCAGTTTCGGACATCCAGGGAGAATCGAACTGTTTACTGTACTCTTTATCGTGGTACAGAGCATTAGCGCAAATGTCAATTGTCTCCATCACGGGCACATTGGTGAACAAGCTTACAACGTCGAAGGAGCACATGTGGGAAGAAGACGGTACTGGTCCTAATCTATGCATTCAGAAAGAAAATGTCACAAAATTGAGACTCTTCACCTAGCATTCACACACATACATTCGCATACACCTACACCTCACACTTCCTCACTCTATCACAGTCACCTGCTTCCACGCCTTCATTTCACTCACCTTTTGTAGTAGCTCACACCGTCTGAACACTCTCACATCTTTTCTTCTAATTTCTTTCGTCTTCTCTCCCACTTTAGTTTTTTTTTTTCTTCACACCTCACCTTGTATACTCCCCACTATCCTATAACCTATAAGTAGTTTGTTTTCCGTATAGCCTCTATTGTGAGACGATTTTTCCCTGATGATAGTCTCAAGAAAATCGATTAGGAACAACCATTTTAGATACATGTATTCTCATTCATCATTTTGTAATGTCCGCTTCACTTATACTATTAATCGCATTAAAAAACACTTTCAGCAATCTTTTAAACGGGGTTGGACGACGAGTGGACGTGAGTTCCTGTGGCAGGGTGTTCCGAAGCTTCACGGCGGAAACCAATGGTCGGCTGTCGCCAGATGTTCGCCGAGTTAGCGGAACAACGTATTTGCAATTGTCATTGCCACGGGTGTTACTGGGAGGTTGGAGGGCCACTCTATCTTTCAGAAGAGGGCTGATGCTGCTGGTGTGGACACGGTGCATAAGGAAACGGAGTTTGCATTTGGCACGTTCAATTACAGGGGTCAGGGAAATGCGAGTGCATAGGAGTGGTATGGGACGGGAAGGGCAGATCGGCTACGCAGCGAACACATCGCTTGTCGAGGACAGTGAGCTGGTGCCGCTGCTGAGCCGTAAGTGCAGAGAAGAACGCGTTTGATCCATAAAGCATGTCACGTAGATCATGATTTGAAAAGCTATCATGGCTGAGCAGGCGATTAAGCAAATGGCGCCTGATATCCGTCTCCTGTGCCTGCGCGGAATTGTGAGTTTGAAAAGACTCATCGAGCATTTCAATATAGGTCATGCATGGATCATGTTGACTGACCATAACGACAAGATGGAGCAACTTTACGGACGCAACCATAATCACCTACGAGGTGGTACGTGAGTGATGAGTTCCAGAAGAAATACAACAGTGGGTTGCTTTGCCATTACAGGTCATCAGCTCTCCACCATCAAAGTAGGCAATTACATTGTCCTAGCTTCTCCTTGCATGTCGTTTCTCCTTGGATGACGAAACTGGATGCCGCAGCAGTGACAAATTTCGTCAGCTAGCAAACTGGCGGCAGAAATTGATTTACTCAGCGAAGGCTTCCTCAAAAAGTACGTGTTGCACAGATTGTACGACCCTACTCCTGCACCTAGGCAAGTGTTGATCGGACCTCCTCGTTGTCCTCTACTTTTATACTTCAGTATTTACCATGGAAGGGACAAGTCTGTGGTGATGCTGATTCTTCGCCTTTTCCACAGAATTTCATTGTTCCAGATGATGTTGAAGACCAAGACGTCGAAGAAAATTTACTTTTTGAAGTTACATCAAAACACATGTTGAAGCTGCAGGAAGCGTCTAAACGGATTGCAAACAATCAAAAAGATTCAAAAAAGACTTTTGAGCCACCGTTATGAATATTGTAACTTGTCTAAGACTTAGAGAGCATGAGGACCTCAATAAGCACCTGTTAGTACATACCCCAGCCAGTCTTTGTAGACATGAAGAAGATGGCCGACATCCAACACATGAACGATGTCACACTTTTTAGAAGGCTACAGGTACTCTAAAATCGTTATCGCTACAGGCGGCTAAAACTACTGCCATACATGTAGTGCGTCTACAGGAGAGCATACCTGCAGAGGGTAATACATATCGAGAGAGGTGCATTCACGCCCTTGGTTTTGCTACCAATGGTATGTGCAGCCGGGAGTGTTCACGTGCCCTGAAGAATTTGGTTGGCTTATTTATCAACAAGCATCCTGATTTACAATATTCAAGCGTTATGGCAAGATTGAGGTGCTGTATCTCTTTCTTGCTATTAAAATGGTTTGTAACGTGTTTTCGTGGATGCAGGGCTTCCTATTTGCGTCGCCAAGCACGCTCATCATTTCTCGATCAATGCCGCTTGCATGATTTGTAGGCTGGCTGCATCAATACTATAGTGTGTTCTGCGTCGTTTGCAGGCATGCTTGGTGAAATACATTTTTTTCCTTCTTAATAATAACGACCTACTTCTTGCGTAGGGATGAATAATTATCCGATCCACGATGGGAATTAACCGTATTGCGTGACTGATCCTTTCAATGTTCTAATCTTTCAAGTGACGTTTCCTTTTCTACCTGGACGCCTACTTGTTTTCCCTTTTCCCTCTAGCTCCACTCTTGTACCTTCTTGCTATTATTCATTTAAATGTGGGGTTTTGAATAAAACAAGTCCAACTGCTAAGGTGTGTAATACCCACGCAAATCCGAAGTTAAGTATCCATTAGTTCATAAGACATACGGTGCATACGGTGCGTACCTGTTGATTGTCCGGCGGCGCCATGTAATGCCTGAACAAGGACCAGGAGAAACAGCGCTACTCCAAGAGGTCGGCGAGCGGAAAACATGTTCGCTACCAACATTTACAAGGCCAGTAGTCAGTGACGAGTTTCATCCTGGGCAAACATTCAGCGCCGCTCCGGCTTCCTTGTTATCAGAAAAGAACAACTCGGCTAGAACCAAATTCAGGCTGTCGTCATTATGAAGAGCTTCATTGAGAGCATTGCAATATTGAGGGAATTTTGTATGTGAGGAAAATCAATGGATACCACCTCGCGTAGCCCGACAGAACGTCCATCCCATACTTGGTAATACTGCCAATAGCCAATGGCCGTGGACTGACCAACATGTGATAATTCTGTGTGCACGTACTTCAAGTTCAAGTGCATGTACTCTCTTGTTCTGACCAGCTGAGCTCATGAGTCGTATGTGGCGTTTGCGAATCAGTACACGTACACACGAGGTGACAAATAGGGCTCATCACTTCAAGGAGCAGTTCTCTTTCATCTTTTTGTCAGGAAGATCCAGAGAGTATGTCAAGTCCAAGTCTGCCATCCAGCTCAAAGACGCAACAGGCATACCATTATGAACAGTAACAGTTGACAGTCTAAAACGAGCAGGGTGCATGTGATCATAGCATGCTCTGCTCCTGTCACTGAATACTATCTTGTCATGTCATGAAGTAACATGTCACGTAACGTAACCGCCTTAGCTTCCATAATGTCAGCCTGCGGTCATTGGATCGACTCGTGGAAAGCAAGGGCACTGAACACAACTATACAATAATGATTGTCATGAGTGCGCTCTCATCCATTGCCTTAGCTATACCCAGGCCCTTTATAGCATCGTGTTTTCGACTTGTTCTCCCTCTCGAATCATCTTCAATCTTTATTGCAAGAACCTCATGGATCCGTCTTATTGTGCATGCTGAGAACCTTACAGTATCGTGCACAAACAGCTTCTCATCTCCTGTATTCGTGCATGCAGCTCTGCATTTAAAAAACTTGAGGTCCATTGAGTGACAGAGCAATATTAAAATAATTGTTGTGCTGCTCCTACCGGCCCTGATTATGATGGTTTCTATAGAGACATTCAGCAGCAACACTGTGTGTAATAACGCAGTCCAGCACAGTGCTGAAAGACTGCAGGACAAGTAAGTAAAAGTAAATTATTGTGTCCGTTCCCCAAGGGAACTCACGACGACCGCTAACACCCGGTAAACCCTAGCGGCAGATGCAGCGCCTAACGGTGGGGGTGAGTGGATAAGTCTCACAACTACTGGCGCAAGTGCTGAGAAACCCCATTAGCTGCATCCACTGCAGGACGAGGACGAGGTTTCTCTGGCAACCAATCACAAATTTGAAGTTTCTGCTACTGTCGACTGTAGTTTTTTTTTTTTTTTTTTTGAAGATCAAAAGGAAAGCTTTGCAATAATAACAACAATAAAACGCCTGTAGAATGTAAAAAGTCACTGAGTACAGTTTAATTCAATATCCATGTCCAATATTTATAATAAAAATAATCTGCTGCAATTTATAGATTCTCACATGCGAGCAACCTGGGCCTCAGCAACAACCAGCTCAGCAGACTCCGGATGCCGAACCGATCGCTCACGGAAAAGACCCCGTGAACCCCGCAAACACATGATGCATGATCGCAACAGGGCAAATGCTGTCGACTGTAGTGGAGCGTCCAGGAGCGACACTGACTCACGCTGCTATCTGGTGTTCACGAGGTGTTTGTCGCGCTGGAAGCGGAGCGTCTCTGTAAGTTTGTAACCCTGGTGATGTTTGTGCCTGGAGAGCACTATATAAGTGGTGCTCTTCAGGCACAATCTTCCTCAGCCTACTCAAGCTCAACTGATGAGGGGTGAATTCCCCGAAACACTGTGTATTGAGCAAGGAGTGGTGCTTTCTTGAAGGTTTGCCGAGTCGAAGGTTCGATGGACTTCTCGTGTGCTCTGGATGGCAGTCGTGAGTCAGTCAAGTGTCAAGTAAAGTCGGCGGAATAGCGCGAGCTCCGGTGTGGGGAGCAAACCTTTCTTACATTATTATTATTATTATTATTATTCCACAATCACGATGACATAGTGCCAATAAGCATGTGATGCGGGCGATTTTAACCAGCCATGGTGGGGACAACTGAGAAGAAGAAGGAGAAGAAAAAGAGAAAACAAAACAAAACAAAAGGAGTACTATAGGAACCTGGAGAGAGCAGCATGAAGATTAGTCTAGCAATGGAAGACAACGAATTCAATTCAATTCAACTTAGGCGCGGGCAGAATGGAACAAAATGCAGTGAAGGTGTCACGAGACTTTACCTCTTGCGGAAGCCGAGACCAATGAGAATAGGACTTGAACAGAGGGGATTTTAAAAGGATCGATGACCTGGCAAGTGGGAAATGGAGAGAACATCTAGTACGCGAGCTATTATTGAACCAGCTTAAATGCGCACGTGCATGAGGAGGAGCAAGTTGAAGCTTAATACGGTGAATGAATTTGCATGCCGAGTGGGGTACATCCACTGACTTGAACACCATGCAGAACACGGCAGTGCTTTATAACGATAGTATACAATAATGTATAAGGTAGTGTGTTCATCCGTTTCCTATAGTGCGTTTCAAAAGTCCAGATGGTTTCAAAAAACCGTAAGGCCAGCATCTATACCACATAAAATCTGTGATCACTTTGTGCATAAAATTTTCGAAATTAGGCGTCTGTTATCCAATCGCTTAGAACTTTACATGAGAATAATTGCGTGAGCTGCCTGAGCAATATTCCGAAGAAATTCTCAAAAAGTTCAAACCAAATTTGAATTATTCGAACTATACTTTTGAATCGCACTATAGTACGCTAACACTGACACCCAAGTGCACACACACACACACACATACACACACACACACACACACACACACACACACACACACACACATACACACACACACGCACACACGCACACCTTGACCCGTGACCTTGATACACGTTGCCTTGATAGGTTACACGGTACCAGTCAGGGAGAGGGGTGGAAGAGGCTAGGGAGCAGCATTTCTGAAAGGTTCTGATGGCGCACTAGATGGTGACGCAGTCGGAACTTCCTCTGGAATGGGCATTCGAATGGGAAGTCGGCCCTTTTCGACCCTGTCCTGCGTTTCGTGCGGTCGCACTTGTGTCTGGCCAAGCCGCTGCTAGACTTGAACCTGGGGTGACAGGTGCTGCACTGCGGGGTGACTGGGTCGCGGATCGAGGTACTCGGAGTTGGGAGCAGGTCCGTGATCACACCAATGGGTAGCCAATCCACCGGGACTGGCTTCGGACTGCTGATGAACTTTGGCAGAGATGACACTGGCAAGCGCCAGCCTGGTTAAACACCGGCGTCTGCCGTTCCGCCAAACATGTGTGACGATTCTCGTCTGATGGGCGGGAGAACTACCGATCACATACCTGGCAATGGGCATTGGGTGTGGGCGGCTCGGGCTCGGCACAACGGTATATGCGGCGCCAGTCGAGGCAAAAATCTGCCGGATCGTACCATCCCTCCACAGCATTCAGGGCCTTCAGGTCTGCACTAACGCAGTCTTTCCAGCGTTTACGTGGACTGCCAGGTGAATGGCGGGGTGGGAGCAGACTGAACAGCAGAATCTTCGGGATGCGCTCCGATTGCATGCGAGCAACATGACCCAGCCACTCAAGTCGTCATTGGCGAATCCGGAGAGCAAGTGGGCGCTTGTCGCCCCACCTTTCCAGCAGCAGATCATTGCTGATCCGCTCTTGCCAGGCATCTAACCTTACACCCACACACATACATACACACACACGCACACACATGCACACACACACACACACACACACACACACACACACACACACACACACACACACACACACACATACAAACACACACACACACACACATACACACACTTGTACTTGTTGCTCACTTCCAAAACTGGTCACGTGGGTCTCCCCGGGACAGGGGAGAGAGACTCAAAAGGAATCTTGGAAAGATGACTCAATTGGCTGTTGAACCGCCCAGCGGCTGACACTCCCGGAAATCCCACACATACACACACACACACGCGCACACACACGCACACACATACACACGAACACACACACACACACACACACACACACACACACAATGATAATGACCGTTTATAGTGAAAGAAGGACCAAAAGGTTACATGGCCAACACTAACAGTCACAACTTACATAAGCATGATACTAGTTACTTATGAGTCAGAACTTGCAACAGTTAGCACAATACTGAATAATTTACCTGTAGCGCATTCGAGACATGATGCATCGATGGAGCCCCGTAATTATTATAAACATCAGTTCGTTGTTATTGAATGTCAGTATAATTATCATCATTCGGTATTGTGCTAACCGTTGCACGTTCTGAGTCACAAGTATCTAGCTTATAACTGTTAGTGTTGAACAAGCTACGGAGAACATGAAACGTTTTGGCCTTCTTTCAATTTTCTCAGTTTCCTCTCCACCCGAGACTTTGTATAGTTGCTACGTATTGTAGCCAATGTAGACCTTGAGATCAGACTCCCTATTTTGTAGTAACGACTGTGTAGGGGCCTGCATTATTATTATTATTATTATTATTATTCCACAATCACGATGACATAGTGCCAATAAGCATGTGATGCGGGCGATTTTAACCAGCCATGGTGGGGACAACTGAGAAAAAGAAGGAGAAGAAAAAGAAAGAAAAAAAAACAAAAAACAAAAGGAGTACTATAGGAACCTGGAGAGAGCAGCATGAAGATTAGGCTAGCAATGGAAAACAACGAATTCAATTCAATTCAACTTAGGCGCGGGCAGAATGGAACAAAATGCAGTGAAGGTGTCACGAGACTTTACCTCTTGCGGAAGCCGAGACCAATGAGAATAGGACTTGAACAGAGGGGATTTTAAAAGGATCGATGACCTGGCAAGTGGGAAATGGAGAGAACATCTAGTACGCGAGCTATTATTGAACCAGCTTAAATGCGCAAGTGCATGAGGAGGAGCAAGTTGAAGCTTAATACGGTGAATGAATTTGCATGCCGAGTGGGGAAAGCGTTCTGAGAGAGGGGAAGAGGAAGCCAAAATGTATAGCGTCTGAGAGGAGGTCAGAGGGGCATGCGAAATATTAATCGAAGTAATTTACGGTGGGTGACTTCTAACCGATGCATAAGAGCGGAGGATAGACCGGAGGACCAAACGAGAGAGCAGTAATCAAACAAAGGAAGAACATAAGAGTGATAAATTTGTATTCGACAACCATGGTGTAGATGGGAGATGTGAGGAGAAATGCAGCCTATCGCGGAGCAAATTCGCTTTTCAATATAGGTTACGTGCGAATCCCAGGACAAGTGTTCATCAAGAAATATACCAAGGTGTTTGTGATTTTTAACAATGTTGATAGCAATGGGATCATCAGGGAAAGTAAAAAGCCGAGTCGTAAAGAGGGTGAGGTCACTGGAGGGTCGTGGGGGGGTACAAAGGATTGCCGTTTTCGACACATTGGGGCGGAGTTTCCACTTCGACATCCAGCGCACAACTTGATTAATGTGATACTGTAGCGAGTCGCAGGCTTGTAATAATCCTGGCTCGGTTATATGGAGCGCTGTATCGTCCGCGTAGAGTGAGGTATGATCCAAACCTGCCAAATCATTAACGTATACGATGAACAATAGAGGCCCCAAGATAGAGCCCTGGGGCACTCCAGAGTGGACTGTTAGAGGGGCGGACAGGGCATGTCCAATTCGGACACTCTGTCGACGTTCAGTGAGATAGCTGGTGAGCCACTGCAGACACGTCCCGGCTACGCCAAACGCTGCTAACTTATGGAGGAGACCCCTTGTCCAGACAGTGTCAAATGCTTTGCTCAGGTCGAAAAAACATAGGAGGCTAAATTGCTTCTGATCCTTGTATTCATATAGCTTCTGCACAAGCCTCAGCAACTGCCAGGCGGTCGAATCGCCTCGCCGAAATCCAGACTGTGACGGGTCAAGGACCGGGTTCACATGTTGGTATAAGTGGCCAAATGCCACACGTTCACAGAGCTTTGAAATGGTGGAAAGGAGTGAAATCGGCCGGTAATTGGATGCAGACAGTTTACTGTCTTTATTCTTGTAAATGGGCACAACCACAGCTGCCTTCCAGATATCAGGGAAGATTCCGGTGGCGAAGGACTGGTTGAAAACTAGGCTGAGAGGGATAGCTATACTAGGAGACAGGGCTTTTAGGAGTTCATGGGATATGCCATCTGCACCTGCCGCCTTCTTGGGCTTTAGGCGACGGATGTGTTGGGCAATGGCGGTGGGAGTAGTGCTAAAAGAGGGTAGTGCTGGGAGCCCGTGGTATGGAATACCAGGAAGAGACCATGCAGGATCATCCGGTGTTCCAAAGCTGATGAATTGGCGATTCAGAGCATTGGCAATCTGGGTAGGGTCGTTGTGTACAGTGTTATTTTCATGGAGTTCAGTGATGATAGGGTTTCCAACAGGGGTCGGCGAACGAAGCTGCTTAACAAACTTGAACAAGCTAGGGGTGGATGCAATAATGGATGAGGGGTTAGTGCTAATGGAGGACACATACTGGCGGTGAGCCTCTCTAGATAGGATTCGTGCTCTGTTACGTTCGCACTTGTAATGCTCGTGATTGCTAGGGGTAGGATACTTGCGATACAAGCTGTACGAGTCTCGCTTCCTTTTCAGCTGAGCTTTAACAGCACGTGTCAGCCACGGGGGACTTGGTGTACGTCGTGTAGGGGCTGAAGAGCGCGACCGGGTGGGTAGGAAAGCGGAGCATAGACCATGAAGGATGTCATAAAATGCTGGAGCAGTGCGGTTTGGATCTCCAAGCTTCAACTGGAGAGCAACATGCCAGTTCACATTAGCAATGGATTCATTTAGAGCAACTAGGTGAGTGGGAAGAATGGAGGAGATGTCAAACTGACTGAAGTCAGGTATCTGGAAGGAATGGGAGGGCAGTGTAGTGTTGGGTGCAGGTGGTGATGCGGTACATGTCGGGATGCACAAACGGCCGAGAACAATTGAGTGGTCCGACTGACCGAGAGGGGCTGAGAGGCGCGGATCGCAGATGCTGGCTGCAGTGTCAGTGATCATCAGGTCCAGAGCTGCCGCATTGCCTTTGTGGGAGCGGTGGGTCTAGAATGTGACGTGTTGCTGCAAGGAAAACATGTCAAGAAGACATGAAAGGTGGTGGCCTGCAGTGTCTGTTGTTGTTCCATACCAGGTGGAACATTTAGCATTGAAATCTCCCATGATGAGGACTGGCGAGCCAGGGGTCCGTACACACACGCACAATGTACTAGCTACTATGATACAACGCCTCTCTGAGTCTGACTCGGGAAAAAAACCCGTAAGGCATGTAATGGTCCACGACCTTTGGACCTTGGACTCCAGCCACTAATACTATGTCGTATGATGTGGCCAGGGAGACTGAGGGAGTGCTAGTATAATGTTACTCCTATCCCTGAGTCACTCCCTAGTTATGATATTATCACTCACTACAAAACAATTGTAGGGCTTTGTCCGCCCGGTCCTGGCTGGAGTACGGCATGCTCGTGTGGATGAGCGCTGTAGGTCTACCCTCCACTCTGGCTCGCCTCACTGCCATCCAACGCCGTGAACTTCGCCTAATCTGTGATGGAGCCTACAATTGTTTTGTACCTCCCTAGCTTGGACCGATCCGCAGAATGGTCGGAGCACTCTGCTTTCTGTAGAGTCTACAAGCTCCATTTTTCAACTGGCCCAGACATGCTTCTCATCCTTCTTCCACCCCGAGCGACCAACACATCACGCCATAGCCGACGCACACAACAGCATCCCTCACACCAGTTTCAGCTCACTTCCACTCCTCCGCTCAGAGCACGGAATGATGCCCTTCGGTCCTTCCCTGACGCTGTTGTGGCGGTCTGGAACCAGCTCCCGCCGCGAGTGCGTTCTGCTGAACCAGCCAACAAGGAAAGGGCTGCAGACGTTCAAAGAGAAGGTCAACGCCCACCTGCGCCTTACCCGCTGGGAGTGGGCAACGGACAGGCTATGGACCAACGAATGTAACCAGTTGTTCAAGTCCTATTAGTCTTTGAGCACTACATCCGAAAAATCCCGTCAAATCCCGACAAAATAAAAATCCCGACTCTGACAAATCACTGGTACTGTAAAAGCAGAAATTTTCGGTGGTGTAATATTTTCAGTATTCTCCAAAATCGGCGGTTCGGTGGAGGGAAATTTTCGGTAAAACCCGTTTTCCAGGTAAGTGTACCGGTAGTGGTAGTAGTAGTAGAATTTATTATTTTGATAGGGAAGGCCCTACAGACGTTGCCGTCTTGTTACAGGGAACCCTAAGTGCTCTTTACAGAGCGAAACAAAAACGGATAGATGCTCAACCTGACGACACGAGACAGGCAGAGAATAGTAGTCCGGTACTAGTACTAGATCTACATGATGCAGTCTACAATTACATGTACATGTACATGTAGATCTACAAGTACATGTACATGATTGATTATATACCGGCAAGAGTCCATTATGTTATGGACTCTTGATACCGGTACATGTGTTGACACCGAGAATATGACTATGATGCGAAACGCGGTCAAAAGACTGCCGCCAGTCTGCCGGAGTGCCGGACCGGTTCGCCCAGACAGGCCAGCCTAACGTGCAGCTACATGTAGCGACATGACTTTGCTTGTAGTTGTACATGACGTACATGTACTTGTGACGTTGCATGTGCATGCGCCCAACACTCGCATCAGTGGTGGTTTTATAGTTGCACTTGTAGTTCTTGCTGTCTTGTCTGCTGTCCGGTCCGTCTTCTTCTGTTGGCCCTTGCTAGTCCTGTGAGGTTTCTTCTAGCTTCTTGCAACGATTCAACCGTGGAGCCAGGATGACACCACTCGGGGTATTGCTTTCGTTCGCTGTGTTCGTGGCTGTCTCTACAGGTAAGAACTAGATTCCAATTGTCATGTTCCTATTCATAGCAGCTGAGAGACGATGAACCGAAGGGCGTTGTGTAGACGGTTTCCAAAGACTTTGCAAAAAAGCCGCTCGTGTCATTTGCACTTTCCACCTCTCGATGCCAGCACGGCTTCTGTAGCTGTGGACTTTGGCAGCTGGCTCCGAATGTGTGGTCAGGGTGACGACGCGGGAGGATCTTGTCTTTTTTTCTAGCAGCTAAAATGCAGATGGCGCCGAGCATTTTCTCCTTGCGTCACAACACGAGGTGTTGTGCTGGATGATCCAATGGTAGTTGTTTTGCTTATTTACAGTTCATGTCGCAGTACTGTATCTCTGTTCCTTCAACAGAAACCGACCTGCGCCTCTCAGTGGCTTTTGGAATTGTTTCCTTATTTTCCTCCGCTGGAGATGTGTTACAAAGAGAGAGAGAGAGTCGATTCTACTTTCTTGGTGCTGCGCATGCGCATACGTCGCGGTGAAAATTTCCTCCGCTCCCCACCTCGCTCGGATTGGATAGTCCTTTGGAAAAGTTTCGTAGTGCTCCCTCGTCCGTGCATGGCGAGGAATACATGTACGCGGAAAAATGTGTCGGATCAGGTTACATGGCATGAGAAGTCAACAGAAGCGAAAAATGGCTGTAGATGTATAATTTTGGTGTAAATGCCCTATATCATTCTGAGTAGTACGGCTGGGTAGTGAACATGAGTGGTTCACTAACACACTGTTTTAATTGTTTTAAGTACTTGTTACATGTATTAGACCGGTATCTTCAAGGAAGGAAAACAGTGTTCGTTCACCCTATTCACGGTTATACTGTTTAGAGCCATGTTCTAGCGTTACTTACCCTTCAGTGTCAGAATCTCTGTTTGTTACACTCGTAATCCCACCACTCCTCTCACCTCATGTCCACGGCGGGCGCGATATTCACACATCCGTGCACGTGTGTATGCATACATAGCGTGTGTGTGTGTGTGTGTGTGTGTGTGTGTGTGTGTGTGTGTGTGTGTGTGTGTGTGTGTGTGTGTGTGTGTTCCATTCATCAGCCTTGCAAGCTGTTGAATGGTGTAATCCCAGCACAAGTTGCTATATCTAACATAGCTGTTCGCTATCATCGCTTCCGCGATGGGCAGGTCTGAGGTCTGAGGTGTGTGTGTGAGGTGTGTGTGTGTGTGTGTGTGTGAGAGAGAGAGAGAGTGAGTGTCACTGTGTGGTGTGTGTGTGTGAGAGCGAGAGTGAGTGTCACTGTGTGGTGTGTGTGTGTGTGTGTGTGTGTGTGTGTGTGTGTGTGTGTGTGTGTGTGTGTGTGTGTGTGTCACTGTGTGGTGTGTGTGTGTGATACATATGGATGTACATGCATCATTCAGCGGTAGTGCAATTTATCGCTCAGTATGGCGCAGGTCTTTCCACCTTGTGTTGAATGATATAGGTCCACCTCAACAGGGTCCCCTCAATCCTGATGATTAAAAAAAGGATTGGAATTGTGCAGTTTTCCAGCAATGGGACCACTTGTATTTTTGGTGGTGAAAGATTTTCCATGTTTTGACAGAAGGAAACATTGATCATTGTTCCTGCAACACACCATACTGTTCTGTTGGCTTCCAAGGATGGGGATGTTGGCGAACCCTCCAACCCTGCAGGAATCCTGGAACAGGGACACAGAACTAGTGTGCGCTTCACAACAGTCACTTGTACCTTGTGCTCCAACACTTTGCAAGGTAGGATTCAGTGAAGTTGCCTAACATGACTAATTATCGTGTTCTTTGTGTTGCCATACCTAGCTCCTGTACCTCAAGAGGCTGCTTTTGGTTCTGGAAAGCAAAGTGGCCCAAGGATGCTACCGGTAGATCAAGGTGGCCTACTAGAAGACGATGAGGATTATTGTAAGTTGCCATTGTTCACCAGTGCGTCATGGCACACACGTCTGTGGTTTCTGCTGTGACTGCTACACGCTTGTATTGTTTGGTCGGAGTATAGTTCCGTCATGTCGGTGCATGCCCCAACTGTCGACTGCACAGTTTTGACTGCACAATATGCAGACTGCGAAGCCCCGTCGCAGGCTGAATAGAGAGTGCATTGTAGCAAGAAGAACCCATGAGTGTGTGTGATCCCCGGTAGTCTAATCGGTAGGGCACTGTCCCGGAAAGACAGGGGTGCTGGGTTCGAATCCCGCTCGTGGATCCTTCTTTTGCAACATTGGCGCCTGGCAATGGCTCGGACCCATGACCCATCGTACCCCCGTGAGTAGGTACGGCGTGAGGACACAGGCTGTTGAGGTGGGGGAGCAGTGTAGCAAGAAGACCCATGAGTGTGTGTGATCCCCAGTAGCCTAATCGGTACGGCACTGTCTTGGAAAGACAGGGGTGCTGGGTTCGAATCCCGCTCGTGGATCCTTCTTTTGCAACAACATCAGTTGACCAGTCGGAACTCACTTCATTTTTGAGTTTGAGACAGTGAAATTCACCGTCACCATCACGTTGACAAGTCACGGAAGCCATGATCAGTATGTACTTTTTATACTCCCTTTTGTTGATGAAAACCGTTGAAGGGAACTTTTGGTCTTTCATTATTCCCATATACTATAGCCTGATTGAGGAGATCCTCTAGGCCACAAACATCGGAGTGAGAATAGACTCATGTTTCCATTCGCTACATTATCCAATTTACCCGATGCCAGTGTATGACTTTCCAATTACCGGTGGGTTACAGCACGACCTGAAAATCATTCCGTGAACAAGCAGGATGCTAAACTGGTACCCTCCGGTTCCTAGCCATGGCCTTGAATACACAGATGTTACGGGTACTGTAACAAGAATGATGATAATACTGGTACAGAACCTGTTTTCAGATATACTGCAAGTGTGTAAATTGAAAAACAACAATGATGAAGTGTTTTCTCTCTATTCCTATGTCTGTCTCTCTGTCTCTCTGCCGCGCTGTCTGTCTGTCTGTCTGTCTGTGTGTTTGTGTGTCTGTCTGTCTGTGTTTCTGTCTGTCTGTCTTTCCGTCTGTCTGCCTCTGTCTCTGTCTGTCTCTCTACCTATCTGTCTGTCTCTCTCCCTGTCCTCTGTTTCTCTGTCTCTCTCTGTCTCCCTCTCTCTCTCTCTCTCGCTCTCGAATGAATTGCCTTTCAGCTCGCCTGAAGCCACGTGTTGGCATTAAACGACCTCATAATTTGCCATCCCAAATGCACTCTGGACAGCAACCATTGGAAGCGCAGACAGAATTTCGTCAAGGACAGCACAAGCATACCCATATCAGGCCTGATACTGCCGGTATGTAATTGCAATAAGACTTGATGCTCTGATCTTGCATAATATTGATGATATGGAATGCACTTTAAAAAAAGCCGTGCAATTCTGGGTAGGAGTGTTCCCTGGTGGATTTTGAAAACCTAGGAAAATGAGGGTAAAGAAGACACTTTCGAGGGAAAACACAATTTCCTGCCAGTCCTTGATGACACCGACTATCATCAAGAAGTGACCAGGACCAATGTGAGTATGTGCCTTCTCTTCATAATGACAAGGTAGCAGTGCAGTAACAAAGCTGTTCTACAAAATACTTGGTCCGCCCAGTTAAAATTGCCGCTTATCTTCACACTTGCCTCAGGAAAGAAATACGAATATTTGAAGCAAGCCACGATCACAAAGCACTATATACATGATTATTTACATGTCAGTAAGCAACTCAGTCGAAAATTCAAGCAAGTTACACATCCTCCTCGCCACTATCGTCGCTGGAGAAAGAGCTCAAAACGTACGATCCGGACAGCTGCTGCACGGGTCGTTTCATAGCTTGTTCCACTTCTCCTCATCTCAAATCACGCTCAAAGGCAGTGCGTGCCTGTCACCTTCCCATCAGAAGCTGAGTGAGACTGCCCGCATGTTGACTGTAAGTGTTATCCCCGTTCGTCGCAATAATGCGACTTTGTTTGAGACAAAAAGGCAACGCCATATCAGTGTCCTTTTTTCAAATCGCCTCTTGCGCTTGTCGTACTTGCTGATCAGCACCCGTACCCACGCGAGCCGCTGGTGCTTGTACATGCAGCGCAGCGATAGCTTCCGCTTGATGTAGCACCTGTGCGTACTGCACCTACAACGCCGTGCACCAGGCTTTTCGGCTAGTTTCCTGAAAGTCCTTTGCACGAGTGTTTCTCTCAGGACTTGGTGTTTCCTTTGATTAGCTCCTTTGCCCTGTCCTCTGTGAGCTTCAAAGTGTGTCCGCCGGATTGGTCTCACTTACTGGAGACATCAACATGAGCTGCAGTTTCTTCGTCAGCGATTTGCTGGTGATAGCCCTTCACTAGGCGCTGTACTGTGCAAGCATTGAAATTCAAGCTCGCGAAGTGCTTTTTCAGCTTTTCTATACCTCCCCGGGGTAAACAATCCTTGCCATCAGACAGCTGGAAGTAGACAGAAACTGTATTCCCCATCGCTCTGAAATGCGAACATCCTGACCTATTTTACGGACTCGCGCTGAGGTTGCAGTGTTTTCTTGCGCTGACGGAAGTGTTCGTCGGCGGCAGCTCCGTCAAAAAGACTCAAACGAACCGATCGCAACTTCTGTGATGGTTTGTGCTGCCATGTCGTCGGATGCAATGGTCAATGGTCATGTTCGGATGGTGAATCGGTGGTTCCATGCCGTGTGGCACAGGCAGAACACCGAAAAACCAAGTGAGAAGATAAGCGCCAATTTTAACTGGGCGGACCAAGTAGAAATTAGCATGCAAGTTGCTTGACCATTTACTCTTGAAACAACTCTGCAATGAATTTTGTTAGCTAAACCTCATCCATTGCTTCGACGAAGACGATGACAAGCTATGTTCTGCTGTTCAGTTGGTGTTTGGCCAGTTTGGCCTTGTTCTTTCGCTTGGTAATGGCAAAGCTGTAACTTTGCGATGTGATTGTGATGGGAGTGGAGAAAGATGTCCTGTAGATCAAGGGAGCTAGCCTGAGAAACTTTCATCTGATCGGGATTCAATTTTTTATAAGTTTGTGGGTTCATCGGTTCAGGAGTTCATAGGTCGATAGGGTCATTGGTTCAAAGATCAAAAAAATATTTGAAACGAATTTGAATTTGTTGCACATCCCTGAAATTCAAAATTTGTGCTGAGTGGGTGTCCACATGATTAAGCCATCGCTGTGCTGCCAACCAACTGGGTCTGTTTTGCGTACTGTGACTTCTGATTTTCCGTATTTTGCAGTGTTTTTTCCGTACTTCTGATGTGCTGCCGTGTGCATTGCTTGTATTGTGCTTTTGTTTATACTCACATGCTTGTCGGTGCCTGAATTTGCTAGTGCAAGACATGTGTGACTTGTACAATGACATGATAATTTGTGCTGCAGAAAGTCGAAGCATGGCAAGCACTTGCTTTGGCACAGAGATATTCATCGCTCAGCTTGCACTTGCCATGTTTCTACATACTTACCGGTAGCTGATCGATCCTCTTCAATTTTCCGTACCACTTTCCCCAAATTCCATACTGCGGACCAAGGAGTGATTTCCTGTTCTAATACGGTTTAATACACAGAGGCAGTATGCTTAGGTTCTGCGAAAGTGCTCAATACTTGAGTCAGGCAGAGCGGCTTATACAAAGGCCTTGGCGAATTCCGTTGCCTTGGCGAATTCCGTTGCCTTGGCGAATTCCGTTGCCTTGGCGAATTCCGTTGCCTTGGCGAATTCCGTTGCTGTTGTGGCTTAATACTGTAAAACGGGTAACGTTTGCGACAAGAAATGTTTGCGTTTTACAAATTGAGACTGTTTTGCGCTGTTTAATGTTTGCGAGTCGTTCTACAGTCGTTCTACACAGTCGAGTCAGTCCTTGCACTGAACTTTACATGGCGCGAGTTTGCGTTGTTCAAAGTTTGCGATTCGGGGCCTCTCGCTAAATTCGCAAACATTTTTACGTCACAATAGTTACCCGTTTTACAGTACACAGGAAGTTGGCAGCAATGCCATCGTTCAAGCTGTAACCCTGGAATCGCGTCCATTGGTAGCCAGGGCAACCCAGAGCTGAAAAGTACAAGCGATGGCATGCTACACTCCTCCACATGCACCAGACAGCTTGATTTGAAGGCTGCACGATACCGAATGCGTGGGCGCCATCATCTTCATCCTGCAGATCTAAAATATACAGGTGTCCAGCGATTTCGTGCAATTCACGGGCTGTTGCCATGGAATTTTCATGCTATGCTTTGTAGGATCGCCTGTACAATTTGTGGACTCCTTCATCAGTCCCTTAGCAACAGTCCCTTAGCAAGTTTTAGGTAAATGTTCGAACACAGCATGTCTGTGCAGCATGTCTGTGGATGTTGGTCCCACCACTTGTCGGACCATCATACACAGAGAAGTAGATCCTAGCGGCAGGACCGGGGTCTACGGAACCTATCTTTAACTGCAATTCCAAGTAAACTAAATAAAACGTAGAACAAGGTATCAGTCAGGGAAGTGAACTGCCTGAATAGAGAAAAATATGCAGTGCTGCCAAACCGTCCGATTTTTCGGACAGTGTCCGATTTTTGAAGGCTCTTCCGAAAACCGGTCCGAAAAAGGAAACGTCCGAAAAGTAGCCAAAAATGCCAGGGATCAGTACTTTCCTATTCAGAAGTCCTGTATTTTCTTTTTTCAGCGCAACTGAAGGCACAAATCACTGTCATATGCTTCTAAAAGGCTAGCGCTTGGCGGTGGAAGTGCAAAGTACGAGGGCATGTACACTGTACAGTGTGTGACCACGCTCATGCATTACTAGGATTACAGAATTCAGGCATGGCAACCGATTACTTCGGTGTGCAAGATCAGTTACCATGGCAACGAAGCGAATTTCCATGGTATTTTGGGCGGTATTTTGAATTCTCCGGAAAATATTGCAGAGGAGAAAAATTCGCACCATGTGGCCAGCCTTGGCGATGAAGGGTGTCCGATTTTGGGCGAAAATTATTTGGCAGCACTGAATATGCCCCACCCACCAGGACTCAAACCCGAGACCTGTTTGTCATGAGCAATGCGCTGATAAATTTCTAGGTTCGGCCTGGGCCCATAGCTCGGTTGGTTAGAGCATTGCTCATAACAAGCAAGGTCCCGGGTTTGAGTCCTGGTGGGTCTGGCATATTTTCTCTTTTCAGGCAGTTCACTTCCCTGACTGATCCTTTGAAATTTGAAGTCTCCCAGTCCTTTTTCAATACACCTATTGTGGCTGTGTATTTCAGTATGCTCTATTATACATACATGTATATGTATAATTAAAAGAGTGTCACAAGAAAACGTTATGGTTACTTTAAATTGGACATCCTTGTGATGTGTGTTTGGTGATGACGTCAAATCTAACCATATCCATAGCCTTGATTAAAAGTCTCCGTGTCGCATATTTCTATACTATACGATTTTTGTTTTCCAGCTCACCTCAAGCCAAGCATTGATAGGAGAGCAATTCATGCTCAACCGGTCATATCCTCGGGCGATTCTCCATTTCCGGAAGGTGCCTTTGAGCAAGGTGAACAGAAGAGACCCAATGGCAAAACTGACGCTGAGGCTGGCAGTGCAGCGTGCCGAGAACGAAGAGGATCGTCGTGTGACCAGACCGATGATGGTGAGAATATTTTTGCTGTTGCGTCACACTTGCGATACTGCAAACCGGGTAACTGCTGTGGCATGCAAGTGCTGCATTTCTCACTGGTTCGTGGCGAGAAATCTTTGTGATTGTACTTGTTGAGCTGCAGTTGTGGTGTCCGTAATCGATGCACAGGGCAGCTTGTGGTGATCTATAACCATTGATGTGTGATCGTTGCGAAAGTGGCCCAGTCTAGATGTAATTCCTAATAAGGAAAGGTTCCAACTTAACATTAGCACTCTAAGCACTGTATCATATCCACTGTGCCGTGCTGATGCAAACAGGGTGGTATTGTGTGTGTGTGTGTGTATGTGCGTGTGCGCGTGTGCGCGTGTGTGCATGTGTGTGTATGCGTGTGTGCGTGCGTGCGTGTCTGTGCAGCATGTCTGTGGATGTTGGTCCCACCACTTGTCGGACCATCATACACAGAGAGGTAGATCCTAGCGGCAGGACCGGGGTCTATGGAACCTATCTTTAACTGCAATTCCAAGTAAACTAAATAAAACCTAGAACAAGGTATCAGTCAGGGAAGTGAACTGCCTGAATAGAGAAAAATATGCCAGACCCACCAGGACACAAACCCGAGACCTGTTTGTCATGAGCAATGCGCTGATAAATTTCTAGGTTCGGCCTGGGACCATAGCTCGGTTGGTTAGAGCATTGCTCATAACAAGCAAGGTCCCGGGTTTGAGTCCTGGTGGGTCTGGCATATTTTCTCTTTTCAGGCAGTTCACTTCCCTGACTGATCCTTTGAAATTTGAAGCCTCCCAGTCCTTTTTAACAGAACAAGAGACAATACAACTATTGTGGCTGTGTATTTCAGTATGCTCTATTATACATACATGTATATGTATAATTAAGAGTGTCACAAGAAAACGTTATGGTTACTTTAAATTGGACATCCTTGTGATGTGTGTTTGGTGATGACGTCACATCTAACCTTATTCATAGCCTTGATTAAAAGTCTCCGTGTCGCATATTTCTATACTATACGATTGTTGTTTTCCAGCTCACCTCAAGCCAAGCATTGATAGGAGAGCAATTCATGCTCAACCAGTCATATCCTCGGGCGATTCTCCATTTCCGGAAGGTGCCTTTGAGCAAGATGAACAGAAGGGACCCAATGGCAAAGCTGATGCTGAGGCTGGCAGTGCGGCGAGCCGAGAACGAAGAGGATCGCCGTGTGACCAGACCGATGATGGTGAGAATATTTTTGTTGTTGCGTCAAACTTGCGGTACTGCAAACCGGGTAACTGCTGTGGCATGCAAGTGCTGCATTTCTCACTGGTTCGTGGCGAGAAATCTTTGTGATTGTACTTGTTGAGCTGCAGTTGTGTGTTACTCCACCACTATGCTCTCTATCTCTTCCAGCTAGCACTCCAGCACACTCGCACATGCACTGAGCCACAACTATCAACAAGGAATCAAGAGAGTTGAAATATTGAAATAGTGGTAAAGTTGGGAGAAAAGAAAACTCTTCTTTTTCCACGAGATCCAAGATCCATCAGGAAAAAGGACATGCACAAAATGGCGACCATGTCGTCCATTGACGCGTAATCCTTGTTATCACAAACTAGTGCAGCGACCAAAGAAAAGACACAAGTGAAGAAGAAGAAACAGCGCTGCAGCAAGAAGATCGGATCGCTGCAGTCGCTAAAATGCACTAGCCTACTGACTGTAGTTCCACGTGAGCATGCAGTCACGTGGTCATAAACAGAGTGCGTACACACTCACGTCATACCGATACGTCATACATGACAAAAGAAAAGAAAGGAAAGTCACGCGCGAGTCAAACAAATCAAAGAGCGCGAGACTACGTACTGCAAATATTACGAAGAAGAATTTGTTTGAGAACAAATGCACAAGACGAGGAATTTGTTTGAGAACAATTGCACAAGAATATATATCTCTTCGAAACTAGAATGGAGTCCATGATGAGAATTCCAACGAGCCTGGACGCTGCTACAAAGTAAGAATACAATCAAATAACTAATATCGCCAGAACTATTGTAACAATACAAGCAGTCGATTTACCACAGTGTTATCTCTATATTTACACCAGTCCCCCAGGTAACACAGTGTCAATCGATGTAGCGACTCGGGCGTTGGATATGACGACGGTTACGCAGACTACGATCGGCGACAGCCAACGGCTCAACATCGAGATCACACTGCACGGGCGACGCAGGCACAGATCCAGACTCACACGACAACACAGATTCAGCAGCAGGTTTAATAATCAACTGAATGTTAACAGACTTTTGTTGATCAAAGCCATCCACAGAACGACACACACGCACGGAACCAGGACCAAGGATCTCGGTGACCTTCCACCCAGCTTCGAACGGTGGCAAGCGCTTCTGCGAACGAGCGGGGTGACGGAGCAAAACAGCATCACCGACAGCATATGGATTGGAAGCGCTGCCCTCAACAAAATCATGAGACCACAACTCAGCTTCGACAAAGTCACGAATACGAGCGGACCGACCAGCAAGGCTGTCCACCCAAACACTAAGGCTAGAACCAACAGCAGACTCGTCAACAATTAACTGACGTGGAAGCCATCCACACATGGCTTCCATTGGGGACACACCAATTGCGGCATGGAGCCGCGTACGGTAGTAGTGCAACAGCACAGGCAACTCAGACTTCCAATCACTCGAGGAGTCGAGCATATTGCGAATGAGGGTCAACAAAGTGCGATTAAATCGCTCAGCAGAACCCTGAGACTGGGGATGCCGAACTGCACCAGTACGCACCTTCGTGCCAAACTGTTATATATGCACTCTGATGTAATATATTATGTACTCTGTATGCATTTGTATATACTCATTGCGCATGCTCTGAATCATGGTCTTACTCTACATGTATCCATGCCGGCTGGTTGACTCTGGTGAGCTGCGTGTGAGACTGCATGTAGGGTGTACGTGGATACACAACAAATGGCGACGAAGATGAAAATTTTGTTTTGAGATAATTTGTTTAGTTGAGTGCTTGCGAGAATTTGGTAAACCATGGCCTCTTCAGGGAAGGCCACCCTGGAGCAGTTTTCTGGCGGGGACTTTGCGGAGTACCGGGAACGGCTTGAGTTTTATTTTCTCGCAAATGACATCGGTGTTGTTTCAGCCAGTGCAAAATCATCGGAGAAAGAACGCGTACGTAAGAAGATGATTGCACATCTAATCTCTTCACTGTCGAAAGACGTCTACTCCACTTTGCGGAACCTCTGTCTGCCGGAGTCAATATCGGACAAGACCTTCGAGCAGATTTGTGACCTACTGAATGGATATTACAGAGTGGAGCGTTCCACGATGACTTCTTCTTTTCAATTTCGCGATTGCAACCAGAGACCAGCGGAAAAGCTGGTAGATTACGCAAATCGTTTGAAACGTGCGGCAGTAGCCTGCGACTTTGGGTCGCATTTAGACAGATCCCTAAAAGATCAATTTATGGCAGGAGTCTACAGTCAGGAGATCAAGCGGACGATTCTGACTAGTCCTGACAGCAAGACGAAGAAGTTTCAGGATGTGCTGGATATCGCTTTACGGGAGGAGCGCGCCATCATGTTTGCTGAGCAGCTTACTCCAGGTACTACTACTAGTACTAGATCAACATCTACGCCGTCCGAGTCAGTCAACAAGATGAGAGCTACCACTACCAGTAAATCCAAGTCAGCAAGTGCATCTAGAAAGCCAAATCACTCGCAGGACCAGAAAGGGTCAAAGTCGACGAAGGGCAAGGTTTGTTATCGTTGTACATCTGATTTGCATATGGCTGACAAGTGTCCTCATCGATCTACTACTTGTCGATACTGCAAGAAACGAGGACATCTCGAAAGAGCCTGCATCACCAAGCAGAAACGAGGTGAAATTCACCACGTGGATGACGAACCTGATGATCGAGGTGAGATCGTTTCTGATTGTGATGTTGATGATATGCCTATCTACAAGATTCGATCGGGTAGTGGAAAACACCCTCCGTATACTGTAATGGCGGAAATCAATGATGTTTGTTCACCAATTTGCATGGAAATCGATACAGGTAGTGCTGTATCCATCATCACCAAATCTGATTACGAGAAATTGGGTGCACCAGTGTCGTCTCTTGTAACTCAAAACACACGAAACAATGACTCGACAATGCCATTCACAAATTCAGTACCATTGTCCATACGAACAACTTCTGGGGAGCCCCACTTCAAACAAATGTGGTAGATTTGGTGTCACGTGTTTGTTTCGTCTTGGTCGCTGTGGACACGCGTCATTGGTTGGTGGTGTTGTGGGTATGCGCGAAACTGTGTGAGCTAGTCTTTGGTCTGTCGTCTTGTCAAAATGTAGTCGTTTTCCGTGTTCTTGGTTATTTGTCAATAAAAGAGTGTAAAAAGGCAGTCCAGTGGTGGCGGTTGAGCTGATGCAGTGATGGAGAAGTAGTGTTAGACTAACAACTACAACATTTGGCGCCCAACTATCTCTCGACGCGGAGTTCTGCCTCCGCAGCTCACGACCCTGAGATGTGTGTTGCTCCCGTCACTGCTGGACTGTCCTTGTTTCTTCGTCACCCCTGTCCGTGTTCGAACGTTCGTCGTGGAGCTGTGTCGTCGTGCTGTGTCGTCGTGCCGTGTCGTCGTCCGGTGTCCCGTCGTCTACTCAATTCGATCAAGCTGACGCCCTCCGCTGAGCTGTGTTCAAGTGTCGCTGTGCGTCCGGAGTTTCGTTGTCCTGATACGAGTGGAGTATCAGCTTCGCAGTTGGCTTCCTGCTGCTCCGAAGTCGTGTGCTGGCTGGGAATGCGCCGCCTTTCTTCTCTCCATATCTCTCTTCTTTTCTTTGTTTTCCAGTGAGTGTTTATGTGTGTGCATGCGTGCGTGCATACGGGAGTTTGTTTGAATTGCTACTTGTCTTGGGAACTGGCGTCTGATCATGGTGAACCACGGTTGGTTCTCCTTGTGGCAGTCCACATCGAAGGCAACGAACGTCCGATCAGGGTGAGCCCCGGTTCATTGCTGGGAGCTAGACTCGCTGCTTGTTTGTCGTTACCATGTATATATTTTATTTATTTTTGTTTTTTCGGTGACAGTCTTGGGATTGGCTGGCGTTGTGTGGATGGGCAGGGCCCATCGGTTTTTAGGCTTAGGTTTAGCCTGTGTTTTTTTGTGTGTGCGTGGTGTAGATATCGTACATGCAGTTGTATGTAGTACTATGTACGCACGTGCAGGCATGCCGTGCTTGTACCGCTTTATGTATAGCACGAGAGAGATGACATGGCGCACTTCTGATAGAGAACTAAAGAAGATCTGTTTAGCACAATGGCTGTCTTGTGAGTGACTGAATAGATGTCTACATTGGCGCAGTGAACGAAAATGACAAAGGGCAGGACGCCCAAGGAATTTATTCCTGACTATGCTGCGAGCAACGTCGGTGCTGATTTTGAACTCTGGCTCGAGGACATAAATGATTTCCTTTCAATCAGTGAAGTGACGGCAGCAGCTGACAAGAAACGCTTGTTCTTGAATCTGGCTGGATTAGCAGTGAGGCGCATTGTGAAAGGTCTGGTTGTCACGGTGGAGCAGACACAAGATGGCTCACCTGGAGATGAGTACCAAGCCTTGACGGACGCATTGTTGGCACACTTTCGACCGTCAACAAATGTCACGTCTGAACGTCACAAATTCCGCCAACTCCGCCAAATGGAGGGCGAGTCGGTGACTTCGTTCGTTGGGCGGCTGAGAGAAAAGGCAGATGTTTGCGAATTCAGCTCCACTTCTGTGGATACCATTGTCAACTGCCAAATTCGCGACCAGCTGATCGTGGGCCTGCGTTCTGTTGAGCTTCGAAAGGAGCTGCTGAAACAGTCGAAGCTGACCCTGAACGACGCCGTCACCAAGTCAGTGGCGTTGGAAGCGTCGATTACTGACAGTAAACTGTACGATAGTACCAGAGCTAGTGACGCACCGCCTGTGTTCCCCGTGCCCATCCAGCGTGTGCAAGCTGTCTCTGCAGCTGGTTCTGGATCAGAGGGAAAGAAGTGCAAATACTGCGGACGTAGTCACAAACCAGGCATGCGTAACTGTCCTGCGGCCAACGTCACCTGCAACAAGTGTGGCAAGCGAGGGCATTTTGCAGCGGTCTGCATGTCAAACAAAGTGGAAAGACACGAAGAAAGAGCCCGGCCAGTAGAGGATGAGCCTGATGAATATGAGCA